CCACATGTTATCTATCACGGAGTCAAACCATGGGACCGGGTAAATCGTTGAATTTCAACGGCGGCGGAATTGAAAATTAATTAGGCAAATCGGGGAGGGGTACGTCGTTGGGTGTGTGCGATAGTAGGGAACACAGAATTAGATCGAGTAAAGGGTAAGGAAGCAACTTAGGTTGAGAGGAATTTCGAGAAACAAAAGCAATGAGGGGCAGGTTTTCGGTCACCTCCGATGGACACTACAAGTGTGTTAACTAGATTATGTATGGTTGACGCATGCAGGAAACCAGTTGGGTAGTTTTCTATATGTCGAGCAGCGAAAAGTACTCTTCTGGAGTACTGTGTGCAATCTTGGGCACCCTATGTTCGTAAAGATGCAAGAGGTCTAGAGAGTATGCAGTATCTTGCAACCAGAGTGGTCGATATGCAGGAAGGTATTACCTGCACAAAGCCTCCAAGACCTTAGTTTATTCTCGCTAACATGCCGAAGATTCAGTGAACACTTAACAGAAACGCCCAAGATCATCTACCATCGATCTGAACTATATGTCCACGTCTGCAAAGGTGTTCGAAACAGCGAGCCACTACTTCGAGTTGTAAATGAGGCATTCAAAGCTAAGGTCAACGAATTTTACCACCAAGAGACAGACTGCAAGAAACGGCTATTGGTTGCACAAACATAGAGTATAATGAGTTTTGTAAGAGGAGGGGTGAGAGAAGTTCTGCGTGCCCACTGAATGCCATTCTTACATCAAGTGAAGCCGTCAAAACTCCAAGGAACGTCATACAGCTTCAGGTGAAACCACCAATCTCACGACTCTGCAAAGACGGATCCGTGAATGTTTTCTTGTGGCGGTTACTCATGCCACGGAGTATAGAATTTAACAGCACCAGGCACATTAACAGATGTTATCCTTGATTCTTTAATTTTTCAAGAGTGGAGTACATCGACTGATATCCCCACAATATAGTGGCTTTTAACCTACCAGTTCAACCTACACTGTTATTATTCTAGCCACTTTGATCTATCCCTAGTCCTTCACTCTTGAGTTGCGGAGTCAGAGCGATCGATGAGATCGATCCCTCTCTCTACCCCACAGACTCTCACACAGATTGATGTTCTCAACGAAGAAAGTCCAACTCAATCATGATGACTGCGGGAAGATTTCGTGGTTTATGTGACCGCTACAAAACAAATCATGTATTTGCGTTTGAAGAGTTACCGATCGTATTGATTAGTGGCTTCAGTTGAAGTTACGTAAAGTTCACTTGGAACTTAAATGCAGTGTCGAATGCCGAGAAGGATAGCCGAAAACACAACGATCTGAACGCTCAATTTGTCTCGATCTCGACCTCGTTGTGGAAAACGAACGGAACCGAGCTGACTCGACCGACTAGAAAGTAGCTTAGCTCAACCGGAACATGTTAGTTAGATCTTCAACGGATTACTAGGCCTGATAACACGGATGGGTGTCTTTGTATGCATATTGCTGCGAGAACTGTGGCACCAAGGATAGTAGCCCAAACCTGGTACTAACTGAATTTTAGCGAGCGTCCGGTTGGAATCCCTTATATTTCTTTAGTCTCTGCCCCGTACTTCGTATTGATGGTCAGAATAGAAAACATTCAACTCGGTGAGTTGCCTCGGTCATTCAATATTTCTTCTGCACTCAAAAGTAGACGTCAACAACGAATAAAGCCAATTGCAAATCAATATTTGTTTTATTATCAGTTTAGAGTCACCGCTGCAAATGTTTCCTAACTAGCGTTGATCGCTTCGACGGATTATGAACCATACACCCGTGAAAACTATCAACTTCGGCCACAATTCAAGTAAAGTAAATGCTTTGTGAACCCGAGAGTGAATATTTAGCTGCTACTTAACCTCAGCACTGAAAAAATCGTCAGTAAAAAAACAGCAACAGGAAAACAAACATGTTTAACTGAGCGAGTTAAGGAAATCGATGGTGATAGAATACGGGTTGGCGAGGAAACGATCGCGGTTATGAACTTGAGAATTTATATGCTCTAGTGCGAACAAACCGGTTTTTGTATAGGGATCGAGCGGCAGATGTTGGTATACAAGTGCTGTTCTGTTCCGTCCCAGGAGCTCTAGTAAGAAGACTCTTCTGCCTTCGAACCATCTCAGTTTATTGGTACAAAATAGGTCACTAAAAATTAACCACGTTGACGCACCAACACAACTGGACGACCAAAAAGAGAGTCCATACCAGTTCAGTGTGTCAACTGTAGCTGATTACAAACAATGTAGTTGGCCTTCTCTCTCGTTTGATACAAATAAGAAGCAAAAAAATCAATGAATGGCCGGTAGCTTGCTCAAGCACTCGACACGCCATCCTTAAACAGATGACGTCAACTTGGAGAACAAACCTGCGCCTATCTGCCGAATCCAAGCAACAAAAAACTATTATTCTGAAACATTACACCTTATTTTAGTTCCTTCAGAGTTATCGTGCAAAAATTTCTAATTACCTCAGAAAAAGGTGTACAGTTGACCACATGCTGCGGAAAAGAAATTGATCCGAATTCAAGAGCCTAAGATGTGAATCACCTTAATACTGAAACTCTTCGAGAACGACCATTAACGGACAACAAACGACTACGGTCTTTGTTACCATCCAACTGCAGTTTTGTGTGAAAAATAATGTCCCCGAAACGACAAACGGTCGCCCCCTGATTGTCCATAACAGTTCATTTCGGTGAGCTTTTCCTAATTTATTCACGGTAGTTTTCAGACAGTGAAACTGATGATTGGAAAGTGCGATGAATCATGTCTTCCATACGTGCCTATTGCTGCAAAATTTATTTGTTCACATAATACAGGATATTCCCCGATCAGGCTAGCAACATCAGCTTTTGACAGTTCATCACTATGGTGCCGTTTATTCTGTGTACAACAGCCGAACACCAATATTAACGGACACAGATGCAAACATGCAAATGGTCTCCCGTGGGTTTCAGTTGAGTCCAACGTCATAAAAGTCGGACTGAAACAAGAAAATAACCTGCGCAGTGAGTTGACCTGACCTCACCTGAACGTGAATATTCGCATAAACTAGTGACCATAGTTAGTTACTTGGCCCCATTCACAAAACGATAAAAAACCCGGCAAGTAGCAAGCGACCAAAACTAGGACACCGCTTCGTCTGACAAAGTGAAATGATCAACCCCATAGTCGATTCGATTAGCTTCACTAGCGTTCTTAGTTCAAGAGGCTTACATCGTAGTTGAAGGTTCGTACAACACTCTTGATTTGTACCTTGAGGCTCTTAAACTACGAAAAATATTGTAGTGTTGCAGAAGGGAAGACAACAACGGATGGAGAGATGAAGACACTATGAATATAGGCAAATATTTATATTTCGTTTATATGTATGAGTGTATGTATATATGCATATATTTGTGTATACCAATGTGATTTAATGAGTGTATATCCAAATGTTGATTGATCACTGGTCTAGATGCGGTTCACAAATACGTGTCAGAGAAAGTGTAGAGTAACTAGGCTGAAAAACATCGTGTTTTTCTGAATGTCATTGTAGATGTATGTTTATACTTATGTGTATGCATATGCATACGTATATATGTATAATATACAGTGGCATCATTTTTCAACGACATGATGTAGCTGAATGAAAAAAAAACAACAGACAGCTAGAAGGGCAGTTCTTCACTGGGCAGGATGGTACAGCGCGCGAGAGAGAAAGAGGGAGAGAGAGAGAGAGAGAGATCACGTGGACAAAAGAAGGGATTAATCCTGCCAGGGACAGTCACCGCCAACGATAAAACATATAGTGGTTGAATATGTCAAATAAAGTCCATTGATACGCACATTATGCTAGGACGGGAGAATACTGCGCCTATTGTGCACTAGAAAATGGGATCGTATTGCTGTGCACCGTAGTTACGAGTTACGGGAGCTGGAGCACACGTACGCCTACAGGTCTATATACATAGCGAAAATCTGAGCTGAAAGAAGGCGAATGAAAGTCGCCGATGACAAAGTTCAAATAACATTGCAAAATTTGAGAACTAGCTGTGAATGTAAGTGAAACAAAAATGCTCCCGGGTTATGTGGAGAGAAAATTGGTTCTGTGCTGGAAGTCTGAGAGAGAGAGACTGCGGGTAGTAAAGTGGACGCCAGGAGGATCTGGCTGAGAGAGGACAGGAAGCAAAATTGATCAGTGAAAACTTCATGATCAGTATGGGACAAATGCACTGTGTTCAGAATAGAAAAAGATGCACCAATCTCAGTCGAGCAAAGGTGAGTAACAGGATCAAAATCGATGCAAAAAGCGGACTAGAACAAGGAAACCTGCCAAAATCGACGAAGGGAACCAAGGAAATGTGAGATCGTGTCTCTGTTTTCTTTTGTGAAAGTACTTTTCATCTGCTCATCATTTTGATCATATGAAAAACAATGAGTGAGTAAAATGTAAGGATTTAGATAGAAACCAGATTGAGAAAAGCGAGGTAAAGTCACCGAGTTCAAAACAAGTCAGCATGGTAGAAGACAGGTTAGTTTCATTGACTAGCTGACTGACTGATTGATTGGCTGATCGATCAATAGATAGAGGATAACAACTGAATGGCCAAGACCACGGCAAAACGAACTGTGGGAAGATTGTTGGAATAAAAGTTAACAAAATTAGCCGAGGTAGAGGGTTCTGAGGCTGACGGCTAAAGTGGATGGTGGCGGTGACGGTGAAGTTGATGACAGCAGAAAGTCACGGAAGCCATACAAGAGCACAGCAAAGCATGGAAAAGCACACGACCAACAGGATTTGTGGATTTTTGAAGAGGTGCTGCACTCTCTGGCAGTAGTAAAGAACAAAGTAGAGAGTCAGAAAAAATGAGACCTGAGGTTGAAGCGAATCCGGGGGCCGCGGAAAATTGCAAATCTGATCGCATCAAAGTCAAGTAAAAGCAATAAGTAGAGTCGGGTACAAGACAGATCAGCTACTCAGTCATTGTCCAAACAATTCACGCGGATGGATCGTGATTCACTTCGGTGTAACAGCCGTTCATTTGGTGAGAACGAGCACGAAGTGTGCTCGAATTGTAATCATCACTGCCATTTGATAGACCATCTTCTAACGTGAGAGAGTTGAAAACGGCTGATTCGGGACGGTCAGATTCTAGAGAATTGGAACTGTGAGCGGAATCGGAAGTCTGTGAGGAAATAAGAATTTTAAAAAAACATACATGGAAAGACAGTAGAAACTTGGTCCTCTTCGATACTCATTTAATTCGATAATAATGACAATATTTATATTAAAATAAGCACAAAAGTTGTGACCACAATAAACAGCGGGGTGTGGCGTTTCTTATGCTCAACAAAATGCTCGCCGATAGATCGACGGGGAAATTTTCCTATAGACAGCCCTGATTAACCACGTTCTCGTTGGAGAAATATTGAATCATTGTGGTATGAAAACCGGGGGAGTGAAAATGTATTTTTAAAAAGGGCACGAACGCATCTAATATGATGTGGTCGTGAAGAAACTTTTCAGTGACGTATTCATGTCCAAGATTTTGTAAACTTCCACAACATAACTGGGATCTTATTCTTCGGCAAACTGCACGAAGAAAACCCACTCGATCCAGCAACTGTGCCGTTCAAGATAACCCACTCTTCCCATGTAGAGGTGGTGTTTATCTGCATCGTTTCTGTTGCGGATAATATGGGGAAGTCCACGATGCAGACAGGCTGATCGAATTGCTCTTCGAAGTTTCCATTCAAAGCCCATGAGGCTGAATCAGTGACCCATCGGATTCTTCGATTAGTTCGTCTGCATTCGATTTCCATTGGTCGATATTTTTGGCTCAAAGGAAACGTTTACATCCGTTGCAAAATGCGGGAATCCTCTTGACATACTTTAGAATCCACCGCTGTTCAAGCTTCTAGTCAAACCTGGTTTCCGGATCTCACCATCAGCGGATTTGGGAGAGATAAATCATGTTATACTTTGCTTAAGGCATGATGGCCAGTAGCTTTGGTTGTCAACAAAATTGCATAACCTGCGACTTGTTCTTGCTAAGTGGCTTCCCAGCCGCATAATAGTACACTGAAGAAATTTACAGCAGCGCATAATTACTTATGAGCATTCACTGGGAAATGGACGGTTCCTGCTTGAGCCCATGCATCCTTCAGCCCAGTCGCACAGCTTAGACCTTTCCGAACAGAAACTGTTACATAAAGCACTAACACCAACCAATATTCATGACAGTATGGTGGCGAAAAAAACACAAATGAGTATCTCCATAAACCTCACATACCCCATTCTGTGCTATATGATTTGTTCCTCCCGTCAGTCCGTCGTTCGGACAAAAGCCATGTTCTGGTGACGGTTTCAATGAGTCTTTCCTCTGTGGAAGCACTACTCCCGCTTGCTCCGCACTGACTCGATTTCGCGTGGTCTGATGAAAAGCGGAATCACGATTGATGACTGGGGCGAAACTTAGCAATCGATTCGAATGACCACGACTGCTCGACTTGAGCTCGTGCAGTGGCACTTCATCCACAAATGCAAGCGGTGCGTTAGAGCGATCGTCCGTTCGGTGAGCATTTGTTACCGACTTAGTATCGGTTCCGTTGTTCTCGATGTTGTTTTGATGCGGCAGGAGATCTGCAGAAAAAAAGAAATGAATAAAACGAAAAAAAAGAAATTCAGTCAGGCTGGATGCCAGGTTTACGGATCGGGTGGCCTGTAAGTTTAACAACCACGGGAAAGCTCCACGCGCAGTAAAAAGGAGTCACGTAAATGGCAGCAAAAACCGTTTGTGCAGTAGAGGACATTTACCTAGATAAGCCACAGTGAAACCAGCGGGCTGAAGAGGAACAGAGCAACACGGAACTGAGGCGTGGTAGAGCGGAAGCAAGGCAAAGCGAATGTCTGAACAGCGATAAGGTGTTTGTGTTTATGTGCACTTTAGCATGTGAAGCGACACATCAGCACCAACCTGGATTGGATAGACCCGTGCAGAGACGATGATTCGGGTGGATCGGAGGTAAGGAGCCAGCTAGATAAGCTGAGCAAGGTCGATTCGAAACCAGTGGAGGCAACCCACTGTTTAAACCAGTATTCGACTGATTACGCCAATGACGCACACTGCGTCGGGCAGCCGCTCCCAATGCACCCCTATGTTGACTCAAAGGTCTGCTCAAATGACGCTGAGAGAACCGCGTCTCTGGATTAAGTAAAGAAGTATCTAGTCTGCTGGGGTGATGTGGTCCTAATGAATCACGGAACCCAGATACACGGGATTGCAAAAGTGGATGATTTGGAGCATTTTGGCTGTCCCATTCCATCGATCTGTAACAAACTGGTACTGGATGGTGTACGCCAGCAGAAGACGTGTTCAGAAATCCCATGGAAGAACACGAGGCTTTCTTCGTTGGTCCGAGATCCGGCGGACACGGCGCAACGCTGTACGTGGTATCAGCCGGTCCTTCAACTACTGGATACGTTTTCGGGCAGACCGCCGGGTGAGAAACGGCATGGAGAACAACAGCAGGTAACCACTGACTGTGAGCCGTATTCCCCGGTGCAACGAAGCAGATTGGTTGGGTGGCGGAAGATAGTCGACAGTTTGGAGGTCTACCATGACGATAATTACTTGGGTCTGAGGGAGGAATCCGAATCATTGAAGCATTGGACGGCTGATGGCAAACTGATTGATCACGCCACGCACGGTCTTTGTGATCATTTGCTTGATTGCAGGCGTCATAACCAAAACAGAACAGAAGAAGTGTGGTGAATTTTGGAGGCATTATGAAAATCAGAAAAAAAAATTTTAAAAATTGGGGCAAAACAACGGGGCAATCACACTAAAAGTTTATTTGATCCAATATTGCGAAAATCTCTAAAAACAGCTTGGCGTACCTTTCACCGGTGATCCCCCAGGACCATGATGCAAGTTGGGTGGGAGCGGACGTGGTTTCTGATAATCTGAACGTGGATGAGAGTTCATGTCAGCACCAGGATTCAACACCATGCGAGTGCCATTTGGTCGCAGTGTTACAGTCTTGCCAGAGCGCAGAGTTCCATTTAAGTCATCAGGATCGTTGTCCACAAATTCCATATCTGTTGGATGTTCCGTCTTCGTGTCTGGAACAGAATGCTCTATCGAGACCGGATGAACAATCGGTTGCGCGTTGATCATGCCTCGAGAACCGTGAATGACTTGTGGCGTGTGGTATTGAACAAAAGCAGCTGCCGGAATATGCGAGCCAGGTATGGATTGATTTACGTTTGTTTGTTGATGTTGCTGCTGTTGAGACGGTGGGACCAAAACTTGACTACTGTGTGCCGAGATCCGATCACTGCCAGAGCCTAACGATAACCGATCGGAGCCGATTACGGAGTTCGGTCGCATCCCGACAAACTGAACAAACTGTGTCTGTGAAGTTGGGTGGGATGACAAATAAGTGCCATGTGGTGTGGCCGGATAGAATGCTACGGGTGAGGCTGGATGCATCTGACGGGAAGGAATACAGGCCGAACTGGGTGCGTCCAGATTGTAGCCAATGTACGAGGAACTGCCCTGATTGGTTGGAGTGCCCGTACCGGACAAGGTGGCTGGACCGTAAAATACCATGGACGAGGCAGGTGAATAACGAGGCATGATAGCCGTACGGCTGCCGACCGTATTTGCGGGAACTGTATAAGACATAGCTGGCGACATCATCATGACCACGGGAACATGTTCACCGGTGGAAGTCGGATACAACACTAGATGGGATTGTCCGGCTCCGGACAAATCTTCCCGATCTATGTAGTCTGTCATTGTGGGTGCTGTACTTCCACGGCTGTCTCGTTTGACACCCTCATGTTGTCCGGCCAACAGGGCTGTGGAACTATCGTCAGTGCCAGTGGGTATGATAAATGTAGACGACGCAAGTGACGGACGCCGATGTGTCACAGGCCCATAGGTGGTGGCAAAACCACGGACACTAGACTGAGTGCCAACTCGACTGGGATGAGCAGAATGACCGGGATGTGGGGTCAGAAATGGGACACCGGCCAAACTGCTACCAGCGGAATGATTGTACCGATAGAACTGTGGATCAGGTGACGGAGCTGCTTGTTTGTGCGGATGAGACAGAGAACCGGGGTGTGGAGACTGTTGTTTTGACCCTGGCCACCAGTACGACCCGTTAGCTTTCACCTCGCGTCCATTAGGGCCCACAGAACAACCGAGAAAACCGCGTGCGCGACAAGCCAACAAGACAATGGTAGTTAAGGCAGCCAGGAATAAAAAGGCCAACAGTCCGACAATGATGTATACGTGTAACTGCGTCAAGCCGAGCGCGTTGGGATCCGGGGTCAAGGGGATTAGATTCTGTAACGAGAGTGAAAAACGAGAAACCCTCAGTAGAATTTTTAAAAAGAACAACGGAAAAACATTTCCAAATGGAACTTTTTCAATAATTCGCAATTAACTACTCATGAAGCGTGATATGTAACTGAATGGGTGTAGTCATGTGAAAAGAAAGTTCAATACAAATGGCATCTGACTATCGCAACTGAATTTCAAATAAACAAAACTATGGTGCTTATCTTTATTGGACAATAGTGGTAAAATCATTTGATCCGGCTATGCAAGTAATTTGTCATAAATTTACTGTTTTCAGACACTGACGATAAAATCTCCTTCCTACGCGGGACTAAACAGGCTAGGTGTAGGGAGACCCAGTCCAAGTGCAGCATTTTACACTACGAAGGAGCAAAACCTATCCCAAATATCGCTACTACCCAAAAAAACTAATCTGGAACTGAATTTAGAGGAGTATTGTTTTTTTATTATGTCTGGGAAATACCCATCGTACTATATAAAAGTTCAACTTGATTTTCAGCAATTCATTATCAATCCATTTACATATTACACAGAAGAGGTGAGACAAAAGATCACGCGGACAGACATGCTTGTGCATGAATCCAGTGGAAGGGGTATACTCCATTGCCTCAAAGGCCCAATGCACGGGTAAGGCTAGCTGACAACCGGATCATGAGATTTGGAGCGGCAGAGAGTCACACAAGGTCCCAGTGGGTCAGGTGGTAACGAGCAGGACGACAGTGGAATACTGTCTACCACCAAAGAGATCAGCGGTGGCTAAATTTGAACCTCTGACCTCCGAAGTATCGCTGCCAGCGTCGTAGTTGCATTCGGACTACCACTTTGTCTTCGTGATTTCCGCTCATTACTTGGATTTTTTTGGATCCTATAAACTTTATGCTCCCATTCCTTCTGCCCTTTACTGAAAGAGGCTGGAAGGTAGCAACCAAAAATCAGAGCACAGAAGTGCGAGGTTAGGGGCTGTATAGACTGAAAACTGAAACTAAGCCACCCGATTACCACCGCGTATTCTCAGTCAGACAATCAGTATACTGTATGAGCAAAGAACGAGAACACTATTCTCAACCGCAAAACTGAAAAGGAAATATGGCAGATGGTTATGTGAAAAGTATATCAAAACGAACAGTTATTGTCTTAATATAATCATAGGAACCGAAAAGACAAACTCCTTCGATTGGGGCCAATTCGGTACCACCACTCACATCACTCAAGGCTAGGTGCAAAACACCTGACTAGTCTAAGGTAAGCAAAAGAGATCGTGTCCGCCCTACTCCAACAATATTACTCTAATGCAATCGTTACACAAACAACCACGTTGCCGTTATAGGTGGAAAAGAGTCAAAAAACAAAAGGCAGCAAAGAACGCGGTCATTATCAGCACCATAACCACCATCGTCGGTAGCAATCGTAGTAAAACAACGATAAACACGATTAGTGCCGTTGCTATGACAACGCCAGACGGAACCGCCAAATGCCAGAATAACACAAGAGAAAAAATGTGCGAAATTTATAGCTCTTGATAGCTCAACACTCTCGCTCAAGCTGACTGATGAATTCAAGTACTGATTACCACCGAGTGGATGTTTTTGGCCCATCGTGGATGACCAACACTGGGTATTTTAAACAACCGGTTCTACAGCTCGGACTGCGATTCTACAAAGCATTGCCAGATCGATGAGTGAAAGCTGGGTTTTGGTAGACTATGTTCTGATTTTCTAAAAATATAAAACCATATATATGAATACAAAGACAATTTTTAAAGCTCTGGGTTTTGATTAGTTGTATGCGGCACGTTAGATCAATATAGGTACAGTTTTGGTTTCAGTTTCAGTTCATTCAACCATTAAACTCGCACTTATGTGCTCCCGTTTCGGTTATCTTCCAGCACCGCACAGTTAAGGGCGACGAACAAGCATCGGCGCTTCAGTTTGCTGTTGCTGACACAAACAGAACCATCCAACCGAATTGCACACAAAAGACTGTTGACTAGAATCCAGTCTAGCAGTACACGCTCAGCTCACATGCTCAAAGCAATCCCAACGCCAGCCTGACCACGAGTACTAGACACCGAATCACCCAACATACGAAGAGTAAAGCCAGAGACTGAGGTTCTACATGGTGTCGAAGCGTGACCACAGATGTCGGGTTTTATATGCGCGTTTCGGAAACACAGCAAACATTTTTTTAAAGTGTCAGGATTTTTAGCGGGGGTAGCCTGTTATCCTATCTGACTGTGAGCACGTGAAAGGCAACCAAGTGAAGGAATGTATTCGATTTATACCCAACTCCTGAACTACTGCCCTCATCACAGCCCCAATTACCAGTGGAGTTTGTTTCGATCTCAAATTATAAGAGGGAAAATTGATAAGGTTCTTTTGCAGGAAAGATGCTCGACGTTTCTCGGCGAATCATACTTCGCGGGTGCCCACACCACAGAAGGGATTTTTCTTTGGGAAACCTACCGGAGCCCTTGAATCAAAGGTCTCACTCACAAGGTACTGGGGCGTTAACCCAGCACGGAAAAGTGACCGGAGAACCCGTGAAGGAATTTCTTCTCGTCTGTCACGTCAGACCTGATTGTTTCAACCATTCCACCTTGTCTTAACTGGTACTTCGTTTTCTATCGGCTTTTCGGATTCAGTCGTTAGCCCCTTGCACCCAATGGATCAAGCGGAACGTCGACGGGCAGCATCCTTTGGGCTGGGGGCTGCCCAGCTTAGGTGGGCGACAGCTGCCCAATGAAGTGCGATGACTTCTCCCATCATCGACAGAAACCCCAGATACTCCACTCCTACGTCCATCTAGTGGAGGCTTTTAGATCGGTAAACCGTTTCTCTCCGCGTTTATTCGTTGGAGTGTCTGCTCCAAGGGTATAGTGAATAGAACCAAATGTTGCCCATCTACTTACTGGTTCAGAGAATGGACATCGTCTGGTCTCTAACTATCGACCTGTCAGGCATGATTGCATCTCCGGCTTAAGGAAGCCATCCTGCACAGCTCTTTGGGTTAAGGAGGTACCCAAACCGTCACACCACGGAAAGGTGCAGTCTCGTCGCGATGGCCAGATACATGGCTTCAAAGACCAGTCGCACGACTGCGGGGAGCCGGGAACCAATGCTGACACTTAGAGCGAAGAACTTAATAAAATCCTATTAAGCCAAGTATGGTGATCGGCCGGATGACAAGCAAGGTGACCGGTGGCGGCCGGGTTTGAACCGCGTACCTCAGGGGGATAGAGGGGTTCGCACCACTAGACTAACATATCGGCCAGTCTCGCAGAAACATTTTTGAAGTACCAGTCACCTCAGACCGGATAATTTTTCAGTTCCGAAAAAACCATAAGCACAAGTGCTTTGACACAGTATTCAATATGCTGACCGAAACAGACACCAAATCTCATAGAAAGCACACAATGGTTACGGAAAACACACACAGTTCCACCATCTCCGTGTGTATGTGTGCACAGCTCGAGACAAGCAAACGCAGAACAACGAGGGAACTTGTCGCTTGAACGAAAAGCAGATACACGATCGCGTGAAATAGACACCTCAACTGGTTCGCATTGAAGTGGAGGGTGTTAGGACACCATATCAAAGTTGTACTGGAGGACAACGTACGACGACCGACCACAACTGTCGAACCGTTAGTTTTTATTCCTCTTCTTCTAGCTCCCTCACCTCTTTCTCTCTCCTCCGCTCTCTCTCACACACACACATATGCAGAGTAAACGCGCCCGGTCTGGCCAGTTCATAACAAGGAAGCAGAAGGCTATGGGAAGTAGCAAACTGACAAACATTGGTGAACCTTTACTATGCTGAATATCTGTGAGATGTCACATATGTTCATTTTGTGTCACTTTAACTAATACGAGCAACATCCCAGTTCTCTCAGATTGTGACCAAATTTCTCCCGGCAATAACGAAGAAACAGTCGCTCCTGTTTGTCACTGAATTAGAACCAGAAGAAAGGAACGAGTGAATTTTTGCAGCAGTATGACAACGACAAAAGCAACGCACTCACCTTGGACTGACAATGCCGTCCACCAAATCCCAGCGAACAATTGCATCGATACGAACCCGGTGTGTTCACACACACACCACGACCGATCTCATACGGACTGCACAAACCACCCGCGGCTGAATCGATCCATTTCAGGTCGGATGAGGCAGATGAGCCCGGTCCACTACTGCTCACCAGAAATGCATGATGACTGGTACCGCGTGAACGACGTCGCGCGAACAGCGAGTCCGCGAGTGCGCACTCGTCGATGTCTTGTTCACAGCGACCGCCTTGCCATCCGATTGGACACGAACAAACCGGACCGCTTGGTGATTCCAGGCAATGTCCACCGTGCAAACAAACGATCGGTGTTTTGCTCAAGCTGACTGAGGAAATCTGGTTTGGATGAGAGACCGCATAATTCCAAGCAGACGTATGATGTCGACGACGTGGTGCAACAGTGTGTTGAAGTACCAACTGCGCAGCACGACATCCAACACTGGCAGACTGGCTTGAATGTTTGCTCGAAGAAGAAGCGGAGGAGGAGACTGGTTCCGTCCCTGAACCACCATGAATTAGTTCACAGTGCAATCCAGACACACCAGCCGGACAAACGCAACGATAGGCGGCCAAACCGGAACTAGTGGGACTCGGACCGACACTGGATCCGAACAAGGGTTGACAGCTGAGAGTAAAACAAACGATATTAGTCAAAACGGATAAACAGGTGACATGCACTAGCTGAAAGCAGAGAGGAAAAGCGAACAGCGATGCATCAACTAGTAATCACAGTGTGAATGATCAGCTTCACTGAACGAAAACGCAGCATAATGCACGAAATGCAATTTAACCCATCCCGTTTTCTTCTGTTTTTCTACGATTACTTTAGATCCAAACCACTTAGAGTGACCAAACTTGGCATACTAGTGTATCAACGCACTACCATACCAAATATGCACACAGATTTTAGGCGTGAAACAGATAATTTGATTTACTTTCGAAAAAGTTCCTAAGACGGTGCGAAATGGTATTAAAACCACCGATAGGGGGATACAAAAAAACGTCGACTTGGCTTACAAACGCAACAACCTTCGTCATTAATGATTCATTTTTGATATTCAGGAGTGTGTTACTGAACATTGTTCACGTCACACGTGATTTATGAACAAAGCTGACCCAAGCTATACACTCCGATGAGAAGCAGTGACCTCTCAACAATGAAAACAGAGGGATGGCATGAGATCTAAGGCTCTCTGAGCTGAAACAGAAAAAACTAATCTCACACAAGGGCTCGGGATATTCATGTACCAAGGAAACTTCCAAATCTAATATTTATTCACAACTTTTTCAAGGATCTCATTCATTACGTCGTTAAGGGAAAACGCGGAATTCTAATAATATCCGAGCAGGCGCGGTTCTTCGAACCAACTTACTAGTGCATCGAAGCTGTAGAACTCCTTGCAACTGAATGTAGGCATTCGGCGTCTACATCAACCCCCTCACTCTGCACCTCATCCGCAGCACAGATGACCGAATGCCATTTTGAAGAGCAAGATGAATGTCGGAAATCATATCACCTGGAGTGCTGGATGGATTATTGGGATGTTTATCGATAAGAACAAGTTTAATTTTGACAGTCCTGATGACGACTTCAGGAAAAGCAACATGAGCATTGGTCGTCGACCCTTCGGTGGTGGGTGTGACGGTCTGGGTTTTGGTTGATGAAGATAGAAAATCCCAGCCAGTGGAACTGGAATGGAGGCAGACCGCTGACCCACACATCAGAACAATGGGTGAATTTTTAATTCTGATTATTTCGGAAAATTGACTGAATACCACAGAATATTAATAAGAGAACGCCTTCGTACATACAGCCAACCTCACCAGAATGTGGCTACTGCAACGGAACAGCAAGACCAAGAACCGGACGACCCAAAGTCCAAACCTGAACCCAATTAAAAATGTCCGGGGTCTGTTAGCGAGACGAGCCTACGCGAATGTAAGAGTCTTCAGCACTTTGTACGAGTTGACGTCCGCCATCCTTGATGAATGGGATAGCATAAGACTTGAGATCATCTGGAATATGATTGGAAGCGTGCCTGGAAGTTGTGTTTCAGTGATCAGCAATAAAGGTCACCATCTTTCGTAGCCAGCTGGTTGTTTTTGCCATGGGTCCAGGGCTGCGTTTATTAACATTTCGCACCATCTTAGGAACTTTTTCCGGGATAAATCAGATTACTCGTTTCATGCATATTTGGTATATTAGTGGGCTGACAAACCAGCAGGCCAGATTTGGTCAGTCTCAATGGTTTGGATCAAAAGTAATCACGGAAAAACAGGGTGGGTTTAACTGCATTTCATGCACTACATAAGGAAACGCATAATTTAGACAATAAGTATATACATGCACCAATGAGTCAACATCCATATTTCAAGCCCGTACGGACCGATTAGGCAGTTACGCCAATCTCGATCAACTGACTACCGACGACGTGACGGGCTAAAACGAACAGATATACGAACTGATCTAACGGGACACTAAGCTGGTATGCAACATGGGCCTGTCGAGCTTGTTGCTTAAGAATACAATGACTTTTCGTTGTTGATCAAATCTATTCGATGCTAATGTAGTGACTGCGCCCACAAATGTCCAAATCAGTAGAGATAAAATGATATTCTTGAAACATCCAATCGAGAGATTTACCATAGAAACGAGCTTGTTAAAGTCCACTGATTACTGCGCACAAATCGTGGCGAGCCGACATTTTTCGAAAATTCTATAACGAACAAGTTTTGTACATTCATTTAGTTATTGGTTCGGTTTCTTTTTTTATTACATGCTTGCGCATAAGTGTAGTGGAAGGGGCATACCCCGTAGCCACATAGGATCGCTGCATCGTTAGAGATAACCGGTAACCAGACCCTGAGGCTTGCAGTGGCGAAGAACCACATAAGGTCTCAGTGGGTCAGGTGTGTTAACGAGCCGGACGACAGTGGACTACTGTCTACCAGCAAGGTAGCCGGTGATGGCGGGGACTCGAACCCCGGACTTCCGAGGTGGTAATAAAACGCTCTAAACCACTCGAACACCACCGATGTGTGTATGTGTGAGAAGCAGACAGTTTTTCGTGGTTAATTGGGCGTCTCTTAAAACTTATTTAAGTAATGAACATCATGTTAAAAAGGACCTGTCGAGAAATCCGACAAGTTGAGTTTTCGTGCCACCAACAATTCCAGGAGAAAGGCTGATACGAGTGAGAGTGCGTTAACGTTGATGTCACGTTGGATCAATGAGTCAAATGGAAAAATATTGGTTATATCACGACATTAGAAGGTATACTGAAAAGGCTTTCCTGAAGACTGCTTCTAATGAATCAACTGATTGATTTATCTTGCTCTGAGCTAGCGTCGCGCCCGGGACAAGGCAGAGATGCACCAGAGAAATTCTTGGATCACTCAGTTGGAGACGATGATGCCCGGACATATATGAATGAAAACGAAAAACACCGATTCAACGAGATTTAAATGAATTTGTTATAAAGAACCACTTGAAGCACGAGCGACCAAATTCTCGGTCGAATAATCACTCGACAAGCCTAATTATTGACGCGGGGCACGTGACTCGAACTTCTCCGTCTGTCTTCGGGAGTTCAACGTCCACGAAACCACGTTCATTCACTTGTCATCTTTCTGGTGGATCGTAATGCTGCCAAATGCAACAACCAATAAAACTGAACGGAATAAAAACTCACTAAACAGCTCTTGTCTTAGGAAGAAAACAACAACAACAACAACAACAAATTTGTTAACTGACCTGCCACCATTCTGGCACGGTTTGAGCAAACATGCATCACTGGTCCGTTCACAATGATGACCGTGAAATAGCGGTGGGCACTGACATGTATATGGACTAGCAGAGCCATGTTTTGGAATGCATACACCACCGTGTAAACACGGTCCAGCACTGCATGAGCCGGACACGGTAGTGCTCGGATCGCATCCGTAAATGAGCTGATGGGTACGCACAAGGATCGGGCTCCCGACTGGATTCAATACGGAAGCGAGATGAGCAGACTGCGTCGGAGAAAAGGCGGCCGGATAGTTCACCTGATAAGGTGGTTTGATCCGGTTGATACGTACATTTCGGAGGCAACCTTAACGCAGTAGAACAGTCGATATGGTGTTAGAAATGAAAAAGCAGAATGGTGGGAGACGTTGAACTGTCATCTCTGAAATGAGTGAGTGAAACAATTTTAATTGGCATACAACTCATTCAATTGAAATGCTGAAGATCAATGCTGTTCTAACAACTGGCACTTATTGTTTCGCGTTAACCATGAGGTCGCAAAAAAATGCCCTCCAACAACATGTCCGTTGCCTAATGAGTATCAATTCCATTTTCATTCAATAGTCAACTTCGTACTCCTGTGCTCTGGCTTTAGTTGGGTCCTCCCAGCAGCACCAAAGCAAGAGCAAATCAAACAGAAGTACAGAAACGGAGCAAACGGAGACGAGAGTTACATGTGGAAATCGCATGTATGAAGAATGAGTTCAAATGCAACCAAGCAACCGGCCGCGGTACCTAGACATGCCACCCAATGAATCCAACTATCCGGCGGGTTGTCCAATGAAAGGAGCACCTCTCAGCTGGTAGTTTGCTGTGTCCTTGAGGTATCTCCCACCTCTTTGGTCTCCATCAGGTACCCAGCTCCAACCTGTGGCTCCATAAAGCTGAAGCATGCATCAGTGGCCACGTCCCGGAAAATCGCTCGACATGCACACTAAACCAGGTTGACGGCAGCCGAAAACCTCGATGAGAAGGTGTTCGGTATCCGAAGAAAATTACCCCTGAAAGGGCCGACGAGATTTATCGTATAATCCAACGGTTGGGAAGGAAGTCTATCGAACTGGCAAGACTGCATTGACACCTGGGTTGGATTTATTTCAATCGAATGGCGAACAAGCTTCTAGAGAGCCACCGGGAACCATGCATCAACACACTGCTATCTTGCAACCTGCAGTTGGTTGCGCAAAGGCCGGAGGCGCGCCCGTGAAAAAAGGCCAGTGACGCTGCGGACGTCTCTCGTACCAACACCCACGAAACTTCATAAGCAAGTCAAAATGAAGTAGATTTACTCCCCAAGGAGCCAGCCACAGCAAAGAAAGAATATATCGAACCACTACCTGCCTCCGAGAAGAACACACACTAAAGAAGTCTATCGGAGGCTATGCGCACCACATGTTCCAAACATTTTTACTGCTTCGAACTCAGCTCTAGTAACAGAGACCAACCCCTGGGTCCATACACCTTACGTCTAACCTCAATTGTTATTCTGGTGTCCCCATCATATTCAACCAATATTCTAAGACAGCCGTGCTCAAACATTGACAGTTTTCGGCTATCTTCTATCAATAACGTTGGAACTTTATAATAGGACAAATCTGACCGTCGCAGTGCATACTTGACCCTTGATGGACCACCAGATGTCATACAGGCGCTTCGGATGGTTCTAATAGACAAAAGTCAAATGTACATCGTTCTAAGTCAGACACTTTAATGCTTGAACAAAGGTTGATGCCGCTATTCTCACACGAGGACAGGACTACTTCTGTAATCATTTCAATTACACAGTTGATGATAGTTATAAGTAGGTTTTACACACACCCAATTACGGCAATTTAGGCTGAAACAATGTTTAATTTGCCTTGTAAAGATGAGCAATGATGAGAAAGCTATTGCTGTTATTAGCTTGAACTGCAACGCAAGTTACAAAGGTTTGAGCGAGATTTTTTTTGAAAGAATTCGCAGGAAAGTTATGCCTCCTTCATTGGAATAGAGTAATGTAATTGAAATTCTAGCGGCCAAATTTCACCTGAAAAACTATTGATTTTCACATAACGTACCTACAAGACCGGATCGCATAACAGGGAACTCTTCCTCACCAGTCCCGTTCTGAGCATATTGACCCAGACGTGTGAATCGTCCCAAAACAGGAGCTTTGTCCAATGATGGATTAGGAGATAATGGTCGAAAACCGTCGATGAGATCCGCTCCGAACAAAATCCCTTGCTGGACGGGGTCTCCTGGAGCCCAATCAATCGAGGCCGAGCGTGGATGAATCCCGTTCAAGGTCAATTCAATCCACCAATAGTCATTTCGAGTGTGATCGGATAAACGGTGGGTTGTCGGGTCAGCAGAAGTCTCCGAATCTGAAAAACCAGTCGAGACAGATGACAAATTAGATTCATAAAATGAAATATAAAACTCCGAAATACGTACCGGATTCAATAATTCGTCCAGTTACATATTTACGAGAGCAGAATTGGGTGTTCCTATCATGTGTCCAGCGACAATATGAGTCCATTGACATCGAACACGTTCAACAAAATGGACTTAAAACTGATCATTATCGAAGAGCAAGAGAGAGACCTTGACCTCATAATCATGTGGCTCGTCTAAATCACGTTCTTAAAGAAACCGAGGAATGATTACACCGCGCTGGGTCAGTATGGATAATGTTCAGTAATCCATTTAAAATGAGTTATCATTCAGAAGAATGTCTGTGGCAAACTCTCGGTTATAGCAAATAGAGACCATGCACTTTCTCATTTGAAGCGATCTTTTTCAATATCATGAAGCGTATGAAAAAGTGGAAGATATAAAACAAGTGGTGACAAGGACCGGTGAATTTCAGTTCATTAACAAATGTTCCGTAACGTTCACCTTGGAACATGAGACGCTAAATCAGCCGAAGCATCTTTCATTATGTTTGTGCATAAATGCAGTGGAATGGGTATAACTCATAGCAAAAAAAGATCAATACGCTGGCCAGGATAACCGACAATGGACACTGAGAACTGAAGCGAAGAACCATTTGCGGTTTTAGTAGGTTAGGCGTCGTAACGAGTCGAGCGATAGTGAATTACTGTCTACCACCAAAACCACCGTCGATCACTTTGGTGGTAGACAATAATACACTGACGCCAGATCCACTGAAACCCCATGCCAGACGTGACAGTGGGACTAGGTGATGATAGCGGAGCTCTTTGTCGGTTAGTATCATAAATAAAATGCCCTCCCGCAAGATACAAGGAATGCGACTTCGGGCTAAGATTTTTAGCACTCATTTTCATTTCCTTGTTGCCATTCATGAAAAGATATGACAAACACACAGAATACTGGACATGATCAGTCTAAGCAGCCTCTAGCGCTGGAGTTTCATCATCCACTTTGTAATCAGAACCACCAATATCAAACCGGAGAATGATGTTATTCACATGCAAAGCCACCAAAAATCCAATCTAAATAAACCATCTGAAAACGAATACATTTACAGGCGCGCGTGCGCATTCACCCTCTAGCATACACAAGCATGACTTTATCTGAGTAGGTTGTATATGCACGTGGCACTTTTGGACCGATTACGCAAACGATTCCGTACACACAATTTGCCGACCGAAACCAGACATGCACACAAGCCAATTCGTGACAATTTGTGTGATGAAAATCATGCACCAGCCTGCAAGTAATAATAGTTCACTACATATGCACCATTCCGGCCAGGATAGTATGACAGAAATGGGGAAGAGAGAGGCGGTGAGCAAAGTTAATCGCCAAACAGACGCGTGTAGCAAAACGTGAACTACTTTCATGTATCCTGTACTCATATTTGGTGAACTTAAGTGACGAAATACAACACGTGAGAAGTGCAAATTGCATGTGTGTGAGAGAGACAGATGTAGAGGTAACTGATAAAATAGTATGTGGGGTGAATGCATGAAGTAATTTAGCGAGTAGCGACGTCAGCGTAAGTTGCATCCAGGAAGAACTGGCGGTAGTTGACTAAGCCACTCAAGTGGACGAGATTGGATTCAACCGGACCAAAAATCACGGTTTCACTGGCCCAAATCAAATTAAGAATCAAAAGTATGGACTATTTGGTTTGTCTCAATTGAATACATCGTGGTATTCCCGATGGTCAACTTAACCGGTGTGACCAGGCGCACCAACCACTGAACTCGTCAGCAATGTGCACTGATACTCTGTTGCGTAGGTCCGAAAGAATATAACACCAAGTTCTATCTATCCAAAGTTAACTGTACCACCTGCTGACCACGAATTCAGCTAGTTGACTAATCATCTAACCCAATGGTGCCCGGGTTCCATGTAGATCATCGGAGTCAACGTCTTGTAAAATTGTAAAGATTTAGTGAATCCTGATGCTTGGCGCTGTCACACAGGGCCCAGGAAACGGAACTTACCTGCAAGCAAAGCCAAGAGAGGGAGTAAAAGTGGATCTCCATGAACTGCTTCGTTCGATGCTAGAAAACGGGGTTCTCTAATACAAACGAGGTAAATAGGCGTCGTTGGGAAACAGAAAAGCGCACATTTTCGTGGTTTCATTAATTCCCATTTGGAAAAAAGTATCTGGTCATTTCTTCCATAATTCCTATCATCGGAACTTTTTACTGTTCTCCTAAAACTTCTTTAATCTCTGCAAAAAAGCGCGATTCGAACAGTTTCAGTTCCGATTCCATTGCGAACAGAATTCTTCCAGAAAGCAACAGGCTATAAAAATACAATTTATAAAAAAATATGGAGACTATACCAACAAACACTGCTCTCAAAAAGCATAGCTTCAAAACGAGTGCTCAAGTATACATCTCGTAGGAAATGCAAACACGTGGTTGACACCCATCATTGGTTTCACTGTTTGGACGGAACGAAAATCCAAATGAGTTATTGACGGACCCGAATACTGAATGAATGAATAAATGAGAGCAAACAGTGTCAGCTCACACTAACTGATAGACTGTGCGGATTTCAGTGATTAGTTTCTATTGGTTGTCGAGATCTTTTTCTTCCTCTATTCTTCTTGAAACAATTTTTGTGTTTGTCCCTACACCGGTTCTCTCTCCTGATTTGATTCCGGCAGAGAAACAACCGAGTAAGAGCGGCTGATTGAATTTCTTCAATTCAATGAAGATGAGGCCATAGTTGGCTGGATAAACAGAGTCCGGAGTAGGGGGTGAACCTACTTCGCGCATCAATTTAGTGGGTGAAAATGATCTATTAGATAACTACCACATGGTAGGACGTGGTCTACACAGAACTGAGGGTTCCATGCTCAGCCACACTGGTTTTTACACGGTTTGGAGTGATGAGTCGGGAAACTCGTGCAAAAGATATTGATTGATTCTAATCAGAATAAGCCGCCACAAAAAATTCACCGGTCACTTCGGTCTTTGTGTTTTCACAAGACAGTGCGACCAAAAGTGATTTCCGTTTGGATACTACCGTTAACTTCGTTCAGTCCATTACAGTTGTTCCAACCATTAACCTCGCACTGATGTGCTTTGGTTTTGGTTGCAACCTAACAGCGTCGTCAAGTGAAGAGAAAAATGAAAAGAAGTATGAAGAGCAAGTAAACGAAGAACAACGCTTTGAGCGGAAATCGTATGGATGAAGAAAGAGTTCGAACGTAACTATGCAACTGGCCACGATACACGGTCATGCCACCCAATGCATCAAACCATCTAGTGGGCGGATCTCGTGGACAACAACCTGGAAGTCTAATACGTCCCACCGGGCCAAACCGAACGGGCAAGATCCTCATACCTTTTTGTCACGTCAGTGACTGACCACCTCGACGTACCCTCCACCTACTAACTGCCTCCGAGAAGAACACACACTAAAGAAGTCTATCGGAGGCTATGCGCACCACATGTTCCAAACATTTTTACTGCTTCGAACTCAGCTCTAGTAACAGAGACCAACCCCTGGGTCCATACACCTTACGTCTAACCTCAATTGTTATTCTGGTGTCCCCATCATATTCAACCAATATTCTAAGACAGCCGTGCTCAAACATTGACAGTTTTCGGCTATCTTCTATCAATAACGTTGGAACTTTATAATAGGACAAATCTGACCGTCGCAGTGCATACTTGACCCTTGATGGACCACCAGATGTCACACAGGTGCTTCGGATGGTTCAAATTGCCAAAAGTCAGATGCACTTTCTGTGTGTACGCGAAGATACTTCATTCGATATTAAATCAGCTGGTGATAAGGAAATACCCAGCTAAGGCTGAAACTAATAAGTTTAGTTCGTTCATTACCACAATTGTATTTCAGTATCTTGCTATCAATGAAAGATCATAAATTAGATAGTAATGCGAAACATCATTTGTTGACGACAGATCCTCAACCGAGAAGACATTATATGGCCATAACTGAGCTACTACCACGCGTCACCCAGTATGAATGGTTGCTGCTTTAAATGTGAACAAGCACGATAAAATCCATTATCAGATTACATATAGCGATAGATTGCAAGCGGCCGGATCTCTCCACACCGGTCATTCTCCTCGCTCATCATGACTTACAGACTGGACAGCGTATCTGACCTTGGCGTTCGCGTGGTCAATTTATTCGTGCACCGTAGGCATCATTAACCTCCGATTATGGCGGGTGCCTCGCGTGCTCTGTTTCATCTATCCTGTGCGTTCGTAACAACGGAATCGAGAACAATTAAACGTCCCGATCCCAACTTACCGGCGTAGCCCACGAAGATGAACCGGTAACCTTGACCCTGGGACTTGTAGTGGTGAGTTATAAAGGCCCCTGATGTATCACGCCTGGTAAGGCAGCGGGCGACAGAAATGTTGACTGTCTTAATGGGATTTGATGCAATTCAACCTACTACAGTCCACAGAGGGCGACTAACAACAGTGCTCAATTTGATGTGCATGAAAATCAATTCTTATTTTCATAAAGAATCGCGCTTGGTTAATGGTGTTTCGGATACTGTGCACACGTGTCTCCACTGACAATGAGCATCGATTGCATTCGTAGGTGTAACCCCCTGAATGGATCGAGGTGAGCGGGATGAACAGCTGTTCGAGGTGGTCACGTTAGTGGAATTCAGTACAGAAAGCTAGTTAAAAGTAGCGGACAAACTGATTGTGATGAGTGCTAGAAGGCTCACCTTCAAATGGTCGGAAAAACAACGCATCATTCTCCTCTGTGCCCGGTCCCCCCTCGGTTGCGGTAAGGATGAGTCGGACAGAGTGCCAGTGACCGTCTGAGATCGGGTCGGTTGAAACAAGCCAATCAGAGGAAGTCAACCCATCTGAAAGACCGGTTGATGAGACCACCAATCGACCGCCCGTAGCCAAACGAAGTTGAAAAGCACGAAGTGCACTCCAGCGAACCGCCAGCACCGGTCCGTTGCTTTGTCGCGTGCGCATTTCAAAGCTTAGCTCAAGATGAAACGGACTGGCATGAAGTAGTTCCCAGTGAATGAACGAACCACCGCTGAATTGAAGTGCGCCATGTTCTAGAAATCCCCATGGGAGTAAAAACAGGGTAGGATGGAGTCATAATAAACCGGAAAACTGGCGTATTTTTTTATGTTAATAGAACGCAGAGGGGGGAATCAGATCTTACTCGGTATTACATGCGCTAACGGTGTGAAACGAAAGAAACGCTCGCGGTTCTGATTATCTGGGAACATAAATCCGCTCACAAAATCAAACAGGACAAGTCATTTGTGCGCGACCGCAAATGCTAGTGGATCATTTTGGTTTGTTTGCGGTTGAATTATGACCAAGAAGCTCTCGGTTTTCCCAACTAGAATGAACGAGCAAAGGAGAAGGAGGAAGATGATTTAATCCGCTGATTATTACTCTCCCCACCCACATCCAGTAACCCAGTTTTTGAGAACGACTTAGTGAAACGTTTAAACGCAGATTTGCATATGCGTGTTTCGTCTGTAGAACAGACTTTTGCAAACATACATCTGCAAGATTCGTTGATACCTTTGAGTCCTACAATCCCAAGTGATAATTCTATTCACTGACGTTTCTCTTAGGAGAATAGCGCAGACAAGACCCAGAAATAACGCACACAAAGTCAAATTCGAATGCAACTAACCTCGATCACGAAAACACTCGACAGAGAAACAAGCATCACGCAATCCGATCGGTGCCACAGATTCACAGTTTGACCCGGTTCGTGGTGGGGGACAGACACACACGTGGCCATCTAAACCACCTTGTGGAATACAAACTCGGTGTTGGGGACACTTGGCCAACGAGCATCCATCGGTCGGGATATCACATCGTAGGCCGGTGAAATGTGGCGGACATTGACAAACCGGAGTCAGACTGAATCGAGGTGAGACTTGACTGACTCGGTGAATCTCGATACGGTTGGTTAGTCCGTGTGGATCAACGGTAATTTTAGTCACACACTGACCACGTGGACAAAACTGGAAGAGAAGGAACTGGTTCAGTTTTGCAACAGTGGCTTCTTTCGTATAGTGAACAGTAAATCACCTTTAGAGATAACATCGAGAGGAAACTACATGAATGGTTTGAAATCCAAGCTGTTGCGACGATGAAGTCATTCGGAGATCAAAACCTCAACCAATTAGCGAGCTCTGCTATCTTTTGTGAAATCATTTGGTCCAGCGAACTGTGTGGTACATCAAATATCAGATGCTTTGTACAACGCCTGTGTTCAGAATTTTTCTCCTCTTTGTGCATGCAGGTATATTTTAAGGTAGGCCAACAATGCTAGAAACGGATCATTACGTTATGCCAGTGTACATACTAGGGGTGGGTGGATGTGTGGGCGTTGTGATTTCCGTTTGTTGGTTTGTCAAATCAGTGAGAGCACATATGTGACAGTTCGACGATAAGTGAAACGAACGCGAGACCAACATGCAGCACAAGAGGAGACGAAACTAAAACCTAAGTGGAACTAGTTACACTCGCGACTGATCCAGTTCAAACAGTAAGTAAAAAACCCTACGCCTTGTCTAATTCGATTCCATATGTTTTTACCTGAAAACAACGAAAAATGACAATGGTGTAGATGAGACAGTTGCAGAAAGATTAGAAGAGGCATCCTCGCTGGTAAGTAAAAGCTGTTTACGCTTATTATAAGACAATATACTAATCAGAAGTTCTCATTTATTGTGGTCGCACTAAGACACCACCTTCGTTGACAAAATCGTTTCCAAATGTGACCACACAAGGCCTCTACAGAAAACGAGACGAATTGGGCATGAGACGAAAATGTGGCTATAGAAATAAACCATGCGTGTGCATCATTTCAGAGGGGAAAAATGTTTTTACTCATTGTGAACGAACCATATCGCGTGACTGGGTCAAATTAGGATAGTTTAGGCAGACTGAACGTGTAAGGTGGGTGTTTTATACGCTACGTACGGAAAGAAATCCGGCTGGTCAACTGATAAGTACTTCTTCGAAAGAGCACCTAACACAATGTGACAGGAATATGAGTGTCAACTTTTAGGAAGAAAATCTTGGTAACATTTTTAAAAATATCGGCTGCAAACGAAGTAGGTTGGGTCAATATGCGGTGAAAACTGCACCGTACTGCACCGTTCATAACAACAGGCGAGAGTAAAACTGATACGATTCGTCAAATGAAAACGGAGATTAACGCATGTTCCAGGTGGACTTCATATTATATGAGGAGGGGGGTGTGATTGGCTATAAGATCACCAGAACAAGACGATGATGCCAATCATTCATCGTGGTGGAATACTAAGAAACTGATTAATAAGCTGAATAATCATATTTTGTAGTTCGGAGGCCATTCTTTCCAAATACATAGCGAACGAACAGTACTGCCTTGTATGTTTTTTGTGCAGGTGCTAGGTGTACATTCGCGAAAAGCCAACAGACACCGTGGACATCACAGAAGAGCGAAAATCCCCTGGTATCTCATGGATATCCCGACTATGACCACTTCTAAGAAACTGTTCAGCTGGACTAACCACTCAAGTTATTCAACTAAGGTCTTAAGTTTTACGGTCAATTTCCCTTGAAAAGTAGCACAGACAGAATCTGTCACAGCCGACCGGCCCCAAACGGTACCAAAGTAAATCGCGGCAAACGGCCAGATCATAAATGCAGACGTACGCAGATCGAGAAGCATTTGCTAATAACATTGTGAGTGTCGAAAGATTACTCTCATGATTAACGCCGCCGGTATCGGTTTGTGTGCCCAAATCCTGATCATGATCAACATTCAGGCTGTATTTTCGTCAGAACAAAAACCGGGTGTCAGTGTCACAAAGAACTTGAGTGAGGCGGCTTGATGGAGGCTTTCAGTCCGATGCCGTGATATGCAGTGTACGCCGCTTGTCAGTTTGAAAAGATACAAGACCGCGTGCAAACAGTCACATTCCCGAAGACTACTCGCACAGTGAATAATGTGTACAACAAAACTGATTGACCATCGACAGGAATGATTGGAACAAGCCGAACAAACCAAAATGACGTGGATGAAGCCTTCCAAGCTACCGTAAACCAGTAGGCCGTTAAGACAACTTGATATAATCCTGGCGCCCTAAGGAACAGAACGGAACTTCATACAAGAAGAAACTCTAAACGTGTTATACTGTCACGGACTCACCTGCGGTGTACACACGTCGTGAATCACTTCCACCTGACCACCAAACTCTCCGGATAGTGTATCCGCAATCCTGTTCACAGCTTGCGCAATGACTGAAGGTTCGAGGAACTTTCTCGTCCGTGAATCATAAATCGCGACCAGCACGTCCACTGCCCGATTTAGGCTCCGTGGTGCACGAACGGATCTCAAATGTGGATCTCGTGGTACGGCCAAATCCGCTTCTTGCACGGACAGTATGTACACTTGATCTGTTAGAGAAGAGGATACCAGATCCTCATTCAGGCGTCCAGTAACTGTTGGATGATCAGAAAGTAATTCTGATGCCAAGTAGACGCGAAGACGCCGATCGTAACTTTCCATATAGAATAGATTTGGCAGGAGATTGGACACACGTACAACTGTGGCCGATTCTAGCATTTCTTCTGTCATTGCTACTACCTATAATCAATGGGTGAACGGCAGCAGAAAATGAACGAAAATCACTCAATAAGGCTATGATGGAAAGTTTGCAATCTAGTCAGATCTACCACCAAGGTCATACGACCGCAAAGCAAATGATAAAAGATAAAACAAAGATCAAACCAGATAACACATACTAGGCCAGAACAGAGAACGCAGTCGATCTAGGCTTCGGCTGTACTCCAAGAATAACAATGGTAACCACTTATCTCAGAATCGATCCTCGGCAGAACAATTGCATATATTTTCTAAGCTACCGAATGCAGTGATGGGGTTTCGGCACACCAATTAATCTGTTCATTCATTGAGCAGGAAAAAAACGCTGTTTTCATGTGCGCTCATGGACCAGTTTAGTAAACTTCCTTATGTTTCGCTATTTTCGCTGCCCCTACAGATGAACCCACCAGCAGAAAAATACAAAAATGAGAAAGAACGCTACTATGCCAAAACACCACTTGTCACGATCTTCAACGACACCCATGTGATACAAACTTGTTTGGTTATCGAATGAAGAAAAAACACTTCCTGTTCAACATATTTACGAAAAAAATAACGAGATCCACGTTGCAGCGTACAATCGGGTGATAGATCGATCGAAACTTAAGAAACCATCAAGTTTTCCTATCTGTACGTGTCAGTACCTCCAGTAATGACCAGTAATCCGTACAGAATGTCATTATTAATTTCCTCCTTTATTAGCAGTCTGTAAACCGTCCAGTCTTCCGATCTATTACGAAAAGAAACATCGAGAATGGGCGATTTCTTTTGCCTCTGGGAGGTGACATAAATCAGATGTGCCTTTTAGCTTTAAATAGTGAAACCTAATCAAAACGCCTGATGCGATATGGATGTATCGGTGTATCTGGTACATCTGGTTCCAGAAAGCATCCCACTCTATCGTCCTACTCTCGCTGTCACAACTAACCTAATGATATTTTGTGATTCTCCGAACAAGTTCGCAGGTTTATTCTTGCTGGTTCTTCTTGGTAATGTAGCAGACCCTCGTGGTGATAATGTGTTTCATTCATTGTACTGGTTTGAAAACATGGAGTAAGTGAAAAAGCCCTCACCCTGATGTACAAAGTTTCTTCTGAGGCCAAAGATCCGTTTGTTACTCGAATTCGTAGCGGATACAATCCAGAATCCAGTCGACTCAGAGGCGGTACTTTGCGCACTACCGATACCAGAGAGAGACGATTATCCGGACCAGGTTCAGTAGATGCATCCGCCGCCATTCCGGTAGATGAGGCGGATCGAACAGTTCCATCATACGGATCTACGCGAAACAGGCCGGCACTGGGACTATCCGGGAGTAATTCGAATGTTAGTCGGTCGTGTGCAGTCCGGTCTTTTACAGTGACCCGAGCAATGACCAAATCGGCTTGAGTTGCAGAACTGTGGGACGGGGCGACAAACGTGCTACCTCTACCACCACCGCGATAGTAGGTAAGAGTGGCATTGCCACGAACAATTTCCGGTGGTAAATTAGCCTGACGTATCACACGTACAGTGACCGTGACACTGGTATGCAAAGCGGTCAGTCCATTGTCATTCGCACGAATCACGAGGCTTTGGCTACCAACCTGTAATCATGGACGGACCCGAGGAAATGGAGGAATGAGACGGAAATTAGAGAAAAAAGCATGGAATCAAATCAGAGGATCGATGTGTGTATATGCGTGGGTGAAAAGAACAAAATTCATTGATCTATGATACGCGTGCATGTTGTGTTGTTTTGCGGGCATGTTTGATACAGATAGGGTTGTTAGCCTTCCCTTTTCAGTTGGATACAACCAAAAAGGGAAACGAGAACAGACTGGGACAAGATGGCGATGGTGTGACAGATCAGGAGGGAGGGAGATTCAGCAGTCGTATCAACAGACCAATCACAATAAGAAAGGGTTCATTTGTCTCAAAGTGTGAATGATCACAAGTCACAGTCGGACAACCGATCAGTAATGTAGAGAGCAAAAGCAATCAAAGTTGTATAAAAAGATCCCATCAACGAACGGCTTATCCGATGAGAAGAATCAATGTTGAGTTGTGTTTTGGAAGTGAGCCAGAAACGCTGTGAGAATTCTGCGGAAAAAGGCAAAAACAGGCTACCTGTCCACAGAGGAAATGATCAGTTAGGGTTTGAAAACTTGTCTGCTGTTCACGGTCAGAGTACGTGAATGTGTTGGTCAATGGCTCTCTGGTTGAAGATAAACAGGGAACTGAACCAGTCGTCAATGGGAGGAAATTGCGTGACAAAACACTGTGGTACCATTATTCACGACTGGTGCTTGATGACTAGTTTATCTGCTACAAAGTGAATAAAGTGAATAGATGAAACCAAGTGACGGTTGAGATGAGACGGGGAAAATGAGCAGAAAAAAATGAGAAATGACTATCCACTTCTGCGCGTTTACAAATATTTAGACAAAATAATGACTTCTACACTCAGCATCAATATGATAACCGTAGGATTTTCGGTAATTAGATAACCACCGACAAACAGTCAAACAAAAGAACTGAACGCGACATGTCGACGCCATGACCAAATGTAATGGGCAACTTAAAGATCCTGTCCCAGGACGGCTAGAAATAATAGGAAAATACAAAATCTCCCATTTAGGAAGTGTACATTTACGTTTAGTTGAGGTTTTTTATCACATGCTTACGCAGAAGTGCAGTGGAAGGGGCATTTACCCCATAACCACGAAGGCCCACAGCACTGTTGGAGATAAACGGCAACCATTCCCTGAGACTTGGATTGGCGAAGAACCACATAAGGTCCCGACAGATTAGGTGTGGTAACGATCCGGACGATTGCTATCTACCACCAAAGTAACCGGTGATGGTGGGGACTCGAACTTTGGACCTCCGAGGTACTAAGCAAACGCTCTAAACCACTCGACCACGGTACAATATGAAGCCGACCATATTTTGCACCATTATCCACTCATAAGTCCAGTTTACTGGAAAACGAAATGGATGGAGCAACCGAGTCACTTAGTCAGTATTCCACAATGGTTACGTACTAGTTTACGCAACCTCGATAAAATCGCAGTGGAACACCGAAAACCCCGACCTCTTTCGAAATAACTCTACTGTAATGAGTGATTTTCTCCTAAACGCCAAATACCGAACAAAAACTCGTTATCAAGTTTCAATGCAAAAGATTATCATGACATCACTATTCTTGACAGAAAAGAGAACAAATACTTATCTGAAAGCGCTTTGTTGTGTTTACCTCACGAGTCAAAGAATGGTGACCTGCGTGCGCAACACCGGGCCCATTTGGAATGATGAATGAAGTAAAGGCCAGCAGCGAAAGATACATGCACGGCACAGTTGTTCGGATTTCTGGGAAAGCGAGCTACATAATCTGTTTCATCTGGACATTCTCAGCCCACTATCGCATCACCTCGTGACGATGTTCATTAGCACAGAATCCCCACCGTTTGCGGCTCCATCAAGTGCATCAACTGAAAAGGGTTTACGCCACTGTCCATTGTTACGTATTCACGAAAAGTAGTTTGGTCCCTGAAAATGGAAGCTACTCGTCTACCAACACACAAGCCTTGGTGTGTACACACCTTCCCAAGAGAGACATACCGTTTCTACACCAAACGCAGAAGTTAATCTGTAAGCAACAACGTAAAATTTCCTTGAAACTATGCCGTGGCCCACAAAAGACAACGTGGTGCTATCGCTCTATCCGGTTTGAAACTGAATCGAAGAGTCCGGAATAAGACAAGCATGACCTGTCATGTGGTTTTTTCCTCTGTGATATGGACGCTTCTATTTGAGACGAATGACTCTAGGCAGACAGCCGAGGAGGAGGAAGAGGACAGGTATATGGACCTAATAAATCAGTGAACTGATTTAACTCATAACTTATGTTGGAAATGGCTGCCGATGAAACATTAAATTCCATTTCCGATACACTAAATTTTACGAATCACTTTGAAACGGTATCTAGTACCTGCTTGCACACGGTGTAGCAGTAGGGGAATATACGCCCAAACATGAGGGCCTGTCGAACTATCAGGGACAATCGGAAACTATGGAATCGAAACTTAGAAATAGAGAATCAAACAAATCCCCAATAGGTTGGGCGTGATAAAAGTCAGACCGAGCATCGGCAACATGTTGTCAAGTTCTGAAGTTGACCGGCGATCGTGCGGTTCAAACCGTTTACCTCTGACTTAATCTATGATATATACCGCCGCCGGTCGGTCGAGTTGTCGATATGCGCGGTTTTCATTCCGTCCTGGCAAGAACTCTGACGGAATCGAGCACCGACTGCTTTTTGTTTTAACACCAGACTCTCGCGTAAGACGACGAATATCAATCATTCGATGTTTGCTCTGGTCATGAAACGAGCGCTAAAACAGCTGCCTAATCCAATCCGATTAGAACCAAATAGGTGGGGAAGCTGACTGGTTCGAAGCACAGCTCGACGTTTACTATTCTTCCAATATTTGATTGCGACCGTGTGCGAGGTAGACGACCAGTCGATGGTTGGTAACATCATTAGTGCGAATCCAGAAGACGAAAAACATCGGCAGGATTTAATCAAAAACAAGCATGGATTAGAAATCGCCCCGAAAATCACTCTGAAGAAGCATTGATATCCATTTCATGTTCATTTCATGACTGACAGGCGTGCACAGATAAGGTCGCATAGGGAATACCGTCAATATCGACAGCAATTAGGGTCCCACGACAACATACACAGTGGATGAAAAACTATCCGTACGTTGACGATGGATGTAGAAACTAAGAGATGGGTGAGAACTTCATGCATCGCTTCAGGCGCTTCGAAAAAAAGGTAAACGAACACAGCAACCCACCTTAGCCGCGGAAATCAATTAATTACACAAAGTAGAGAAACAGGTTTGTACAGAAGAAGTTGGAGATGACAATCTGCCTCCAAATGTCTCAGTATGGTCGGAAATGGGTGTCCAGGGCTCCGAGATGCCTACTCGTCTGAATGTTTCTCGAAATGCTCCCTTATGACCGTGCTTTCTAAACAGCCCCTACTGAGTAAGTCCTACTCACTGCCTTCTCGTGGCGAAGGTGTTTTTATAAAAGTGAGAGGACAAAAGCAAATGCCCGGCACTTTCCACCGGATTGGTTGACTGATAGTCAGTCAAGGGAAGATGGCTAAACCCTGATTTCAAACCAACCACAAGACTGCTCACCGGCATCTTTGGTGGAGAGATGTACTGGGCAACCAGGATGTCTGGCCCAATCCAAAGAGCGCATGAACTGAGCAATCAGTCACCGGCTACAGAGGGCAACGAGATCCTCATGTCGTCCCGCCGCCTTGTAGGTTAGACGTTCCGGTCAAAGGCTCGGGTGGGGCTCCTTAAGTCAACCCCCTACTTAGGTCTGGGCAATCGGGTAGTATTCAGCTCACATGCGTGCTTGGAATGAAAATGACAGCGTGGAGGCCAATCAATGACAGCATCGTGTTAGCTCGAAGTCGTGCGCCGCGGTGGTCATGTTGTGGCAAATTGTAATTTAACCTCGGACAGACTTCCATCTGTTAATCCACGTTTATTTTTCTGTTTCATGTTTTTGCATGGCACCACGCCTCTGTACCTTGTACCGGGTTATCGGTGGACATATATATATATATATATATATATATATATATATATATATATATATATATATATATATATAATCCGCGAGGGGACTGACTGTAGTACAATAAGCTTTACTGAGGCAGTCAGTCGGCGGGTATCAATCGAAACCATTCGTTGATCATGACATAGATGAGATTTTCTGAAGTTTTTGAGGAGAAGCAGTAACCACAATGGCTGTGGGAGAACAATGCTTGACACTGTCTAGTAGTAACGCAACTGTGTTCACTGATCCGATAAGTTATGAAGGCTCACAGATTCCTGTGGATTGGGATTCTGTCACACGTAATTTCTAGTGGTTATGTGCACCTGCCCACAAAAGAAACATACAAAATAATCTGGTAGACTCCAAGTAAGCAGAGACGCTACCTTACCAGTAAGCATACCGAGATAGTGAGGAAGACATCGACGCAAACAAAACACGGTTACGGATAGCCGGTCGAATCAATTTTTCACGTTCAGGAAGGTAAGTGATAAAATCTGCTAAAGACCACTGAAACAACATCAAAAGAACATAAAAGTCTAGTAGAATGGTGTCTAGCACCAATCGAGTTGCTGTGGGTCACTCAAGACGGGAAGTCAGCGCTACACAATATAAAATACTAGATGTGAGTATGTAACAACAGTGCCTTCTTTTCTTCACTTGGTCATCTGTTCATTGTAATGGACCAAATGCTCAGAAAAAACACAGTGATCGATTTAACAGTGGGAAATGACGGGCTCAGATTAGCTTGTGTGCCTACACACACATACAAGCATTATTAAGAAGGATGCTCCGCTGTTTATGAATCGGTCTCAGCCTGGCAAAAACCAGTGACGATTTGAAACCCAAAACACTAGTATGCGGTGGCACTGTATATCGGTATAACCATGGGAACGCATTTGACTGTATATACCACAATTACTTCCTAGTCTGTGCCAATGCCTATCAATGCCGAACATGCACCTGCGCTTTCAGTTCAACTCAGTCAACCGGACAAAGAGAGTTAGAATCCGCGGTCATCACGTTTGTTCATTCATACTCGTTTTTCTTAGTCCCAACCAATGGACGCTACTCTTACACGGTTCTCATTGTGAAATAACACCACTTCAATTCAAGGGGACGCGGGCACGTCTACTGTGGCTTATCATGCTCAATATTTTACTTGTCCGTGCTCATCTAATCACTGACTGTTGTTGGATTGGCTGGTTGTTGAACAACATTTTCATTAACATGCACAAGAATTGTAAAAATTCCATCCGTTCTTAATCTCCGTGTTATTGCTTAATGAAAAAAGGTCCAAGGAGATCAGAGCGTGGGCAAAGCGGGAGCAAAGGATTAGGAGAGCAGCATTGTTTTTCAAGTAATTATGACAAACATTAATTACCGTTTTACCTGAAAATTACTTACACCCTACAGGGTAATTTTACAGTATATTCGAATGATGACAACGTGACGTGGTGTCCTAGTTAGCACCCGCACACCGTTGATTCGACATGAGATACACACGTACGCACTCCCACATATCCACATTGCAAGACCAGGCGCGCTCGCTTACACGATCAATGACCTTGAGATGCATTTAAATCGGCCTTGTGAACGTAAATATGCCTTACCTACGCTTACTACTGACGTGTACGCGCGCACGCTTTGTCTGTGCTTGTACCAGTATGCATATACCAAATTACCTCGACATTTTGGAATTACTTAGAGCGCTACAAAATGAAGGACACAGCAGTCAGTATTCCCAATCACTTCTCGAACGTCGAAACACCAATAGATGAGTTTCACACAAGACTTGCTTTGCTGGACAAGGTTTTGGACTATGGATCGTTCAACATTCCATCAATACAGAGAAATATTCACGTCGATGCAGTCTAGATCTAACGCGTGTGACATTAAAGCTGCCGGCCATTTCGCCTTTGATGCCGTTAGTACATCACAGTGAATTAGCTGAGGGTGCCAGATGGGCCCATATAATAACTGGGAGCTCTCCATATTCAGTGACAATTAGGGTCGATGAGATAATGTAATTCCAAACACAACGATCAGATGAGTTTGATCTAATGGCTGGACTCATCAAGTATCCATTTTCATTCCAAACGGTTCATTTTTGGTTGCCTTTCAGATCAGTCATTCTCATTCCCCAAATGGATCGATGGATGAAAACGCGATTTGAGCGAACGGTGAACAAACTCGCCACAGAATAGGTTGTCTGAGTAGTTAGCAGTTACTCAAACCAGTCGGTACTATGTTCAGTCAGAAGAACATCAAATACAATTTCAACATGTGTGGATTGCTGAGAGACAAAATAAACAACCGACAACAGCTTTACCCCGCAGAAGTTGCACGTTAACTTACAAATGTTCCATCACATGAAATTAACTATATCACCTAACGATCAACTGAGGACCACAACCTGGAAGTTGAATCACTCTACCACAATTACAATATTTTCCGTAGTTTAAGAGTCTTCAGCCACAGTTTGAACCTTGCAAGGCGGTTCAACAGCAGCTCAATGTGCCTAAACTATGACACAAGGCTCATAAACTACTCTAATTTTTCTTAGGGAAGTAAAGTGGTGAAGGTAGATTAATGAGTGGTACAGTTTCGGCGATTCAAGAACAATCAAACTCGAGTAAATCAACACGCCTCAATGAGTCATCGTTGCAGATTATAACACATACAGAGGTAACCAGATCATAATAGACTAAACAAAAAACTAACCGGAAGACGATCGACGGCGTACAATAAACACTCGCCCGTCGTGTAATTTCCATCTCTTGAAGAGATAGCCCTTTCTCCGCTCCCGTCGTCATGTTGTGACAATCCGGAGGAAGTATTTCGCACGGAAAATAAGGCTCCAGCACGTGCGGAATCTCCAGTCAACTGTATTGCACCGGAGTGTGTCAACTGGCAGGTAAATGGACCGGAGTTAGGTGGAGCATCCGTATCTGTGAGTCGAAGACGCCCAATCAGCACACGATCACCCTCGGATTTGCGACAATTCGCCTGGGGCACGTCGCCTTCTGTGGGCTGAAAGTGGGGATCGTGTCGGTGGGAAAGTCGGCAAAAGTTTGTAACACCATAAAATACCAAGTTGAACAGGCAAATAGCAAAATGAACACCATAAAAGACGAATTGATAGTTGCGTAATCGACTCGGTGGTCGTAGAGTAGTACCCGTTATACAGTATTCAAGCCTGAGGTGAGTAGACAGCACTTTACCGATGCTCACTCGCGTTGTTAGCACGTCTCACCTTTTGGGGTAGGTTGCGTGGTTCATTACTCCAAGTTTCGGGGTCATGATTGTCGGTTTTCTGATGGTACAGTTAGTCCATGTGATTATAAGATTATATATATATATATATATATATATATATATATATATATATATATATATATATATATATGAAGTGGCAGCAAGGAATGAGAAAATGTGCAGCAGACTTAGGAAAAGTAGGTGCTTCAAGCCTTCGCGGTTGGGGTCCAAAAGATCCGTCTACCAGTTGAATGGACACACTGGGGGATATGGTAGCGAACCGTGAACAGTGGCGATCGTGTTGTCACTTTCTGTCAAATCAGAATGACTGATCGATGTGCGTTTGTACAGTTAGACTGTGTACTCCGTGCATTGACTTTTAGGGCATTCTTTCCTTTTCCCACCCATGTAGGTTCACTCCCTGTCCATCTTGTATATTCATACTTTCTAATTCAGCGTGCAACATGATGAGAAAGGCAGTGGTCAGTGGGACTTGCCTTACTGTTTAACGCTGTACGATGAAGATGATGATGATGGTAACGGCAACAGAGGCAACTCAGTATATCCTAAGATTAGGTAGCTTGGCAACGGACGGCTACCTTGCTGACAGGCAAATTGCCATTCGGGAATACAGACTTCATTTAGCATGCGATTAGTGTTCATCATCGTATAAGAAAGAAATAAAAAAGCAAAGAGTGGAATGATAAAGTTTTGGAACGATTTATACAAACTACACTCCGCATTGCCCACTCATGATACTATTGCGCAGATAAACAACCACCTTGCAAATTGGTATATTTCCAGACCTGAATGGCATCGTGGAAATCCCAACGGAAGAGTGAAACAAAATTGAAATCAACAAGTGATCAAATGGTGGCGGATGACAAACGGAGGTTACGCTCAGGAGGCGTTCGCGTGAAAAGCCGATTCGGTAAATAGGATTCTGTCACAGTTCTGTGAACCTAACTCGACGTATGCCATGCCAGGAAGATGTGCATCGCGGTGCATTTTTTTGACAGTTTGACAGCACAAATGAGATGTCACCCACACTGCACGGAACGAAAATGCGATTACCGCATTATTTTCAGTTGGAGCTGATTTCTGTCGTACAATAAGACCCACAAAGTCTACTTTGTTCATTCTGTCCTAAATTCAAGCCGAATTCGTTACTAGTCAATTTTCGTTCCACCTATATAATTATGTCGTTTTCAGTCACACGCATATGAGAAGTGCACGATTTCGTATTCTGAACTGCTCTTATCTGCTGCGTGCTGTGCTCTTCTCGAATCGGTTTTTGACAATCATCACGGTTGATCGAGCATAATGGTGGTGTTGTGTGCTAGTTTGAGCGTTTGCAGGTTTTAGCTTCCGTTGTAGAGATTGGTTCGAAAGAGATGTGTTGTGTTCTTTTGAACGGAGTACGTGCAAGCAATTAGACATTCCCCCAGTTGACCGGCTGTGGTCGAGTAGTAAGTTTCCCACCATCAGGTCTGAGAGACACGGAGGTTCGAACCCGGTCTCCGACGTAGCACTCGGCTGTTGCCTGAATCGTCACTAAGCTTGTCGCCTGTTGATGCCATCTCTCTGTGCGTGACTGTGAGTGCGGCGGGAAAAATAGGAAGAAAACCCTGAAGCGCGTGGGTACCAAGAGCGAAAAAGGTGCGTGTACGGTCATGGAAAGCGATAAGGCATGCGACTTTGGTTATGGATAAACCAAAACGATCTGATGCGGAATATTACAAAAGGAAGCACTAACCTGGCTTTGATAGCAACCACTGACATTCCCAGCACGGTCGACCTGTTAACAGAAAAGAAAATGACCGAGTGAGTGAGCAGAAACGAAATAAGGGTCAAGCTATCGACCACGTACGTGAACAAAACGCAAGTGGGAGAAAGTGTGATATCACAAGTGAAATAAGACTGAGTTTTGTGTCGTTGAGAAAACATTTTTTTTAATGAATGACCACTCGCAAAAAAACTACTTGAACAAAGCTGTTCAATCGTTGCAGCAAGGTAAAAATTTGCGTGTTTACGAGACAGATGGTAGACAGGCAAATGGATGGGTCGATCTTTGGGAACAAACAGATTTAGAACAAGTTCAGATTGCGATTTAACATTCGGAGCACTTGATTCGACAAGAGAAAATTTTTCCTGTCACTGCCCCTTCACCCCGCCGCCCCATCATATTCAATCTGTTCCTGGTTTCCACTTGCGCACAGATAAATTAAGGACCGTCAGTGTGGAGGTGAAACGACAAAAAAGCAAGCTAAGTTCAAACGAACAAATGTATAACTGAAATCGGAAAACAGCGTTTCTGAACGAAGTGCTACTGGTAGACAGACAGAAGACGGAACAGAAATTAAAGCGCAAGAGTAACGCGTTCCAAACTTATAGAAAATGACAGAAACAGCGTAGATTTCAGAAACATATATAAACTAATTGGAACGGCTGCGAAGAACAAGATAACTCTCATTCGCATCAGTACTGACACTTGAGGTGTCTGATGAGTGGAATGCATTATGGTAAGTAATGCGGATTCTTACCACGGACTCAAAGCGTGTCAAACTGATACAATAGTTCCCACAAATACTCCCAGTGAGCGGAGTGTGGATACTTAACTACTATGTAGCAAACCATTTGATAAGCTCACCTATGAAAATACAGGGCAAATAGAAAATATATGGGCTCCGAATGAGCAAACATTTCAGTGGGCACAATGGTACATCTTTTGTAACTTAAACGAGATGGATGTACCAAATAAACCACACGACAATTACCTCAACAATAAATTCGTAACTGGGTTTCTCGAACACCGGAGGGCAATCATTGATATCCAGAATACGCACACGGACCAGAGTATGACTAGTCAATGAGACTGGTCGACCTCGATCAGCCACTGCAGCGACTAGCCAATACTCGCTGACCAGTTCACGATCTGGTTCAAACAGAGCAATAAGGCGTCCAAAATCAGCATCCAATCGGAATCGGGGTCGGCTTGGTGAAATCGGATCGGTCAATAATTCGGTGTCCGGTGGAAGTGCCGTCCGATTGAGTCGGCCAAACCAAGGGGCAGTCTCATTCGCTGTCAACAGGGTGTATGCCAAACGTCCGTTGTCACCACTGTCTGCGTCCACGGCGTTCAGCTAGGAAAGGAAATCGGGTTTCGGAAAAATAAAACACCGGAAATGAGCAACACGTGGCAAGAGCTTAAAGCTGAGATCAGTGTTTCTGACTTTGTTCGCCACAGTGAAAAAATGATTAGGTCGTACATAATTCTATTCTGTTGAAAGAGCACGGTTGTCGACAAGTAGTGGAAGAGAAAGTTGAGAAGAATTTCGACCAAAACAACTGAACAAGAGACCACGAACGAAGTTTAGCATGATCTTAGTTCCGTTTGGAAACGATAATGATAGATTACAAACAGAAACATGAGCACTGGAGTGAAAACTAATTTCGTGATTACCGCTAAGTACGAAAACATTTCTAATCCAACAATAAAATCGACGTATGCATCCATAAATAAATGACAGAAGCGAATTCTAAGATGAAACTTGAGAAACCGCTGTTGGCTTGAATGAGGAGGAATTTGGAAATTTAAACCGGATGACTAAACTTAAAACCACTAAACGTAACTGATCAGACTGATCAAGAAGTATGCATTTGTAATAGCAGAATGAAGATATCGAAAAGGAACCAAAGAAATACAGAGTCAGAAAACGAGGTAGCCCGCGAAAAAAGGAAATCAGATTCTTCCCACTGAGCACATTCTTAGGACACAGACTGGCGGACAAGCTCGTTTTCAGTTATTCATAATCACATCATTATCACATCACAATATAGCACGGCAATACGAGATTCGTCATGTAGCGTAAACGTTCAAACCATAGAAGCACTTTGCAGCTACTACTTACATAACGAAAGTTAAAGTATTTCGCCAATTGAACAAGTAGGTGGGAGTGGTCAGTATCAAACTCTTCAACCATAAACCTCGCACTTCGGTACTCTGGTTTCGGTTTCTACCTTTCAGCATCGTCCAGTAAAGGACAAGAAGGACAGAAGCATAGAGTGGATAAGGTCTAAAAATCAGAGTATTAAGTGGAAATCACAAACTCAAAGAGAGAGTTCGAATGGAATTGCCACAGCGACCGTAACACTTAGCCATATCACTTAATATTTCCAACCATTTGGTGGACCTCAACCAGGAAGTCTAACACGTCCTACTTAACCGAATCCACTAGCCATGGTTTTCATACCTTTTTGCTGTATCATGGACTGACCACCTCGGAGAACAGCATACACCGAGGAAGTCTATCAGTGGGCATGCGTAACACATGTCCCAAATACCTTAATCTGGTTAGATTCAGTACTTGATCCAGAAACTGACCTATGATTTCCAACACCTCACGTCTAACCCCAGCATTGCTGATAAGGTGTTCCCACCATATTCGGATTGTGCTACGGAGACAGCTGTGCTTAAACACCCACAGTCCTCGTTTATCCTATACCCTCAACGACCGTGTTTCTGAACTGCATAAAAGAACGGACGTAACAGCCGCATTGTACACTCGGCCATTGACTGACAATCGGATGTCACGCCCACTCCACAGATGACGAAGGTCGGGTGAAAGACCGCAGTAAGCACGAACATCAGCTTCGGATGTCTCCATACAAACACTGGGAAAGAGAAATAAATTTTCCTGGCATGTCCATCAGTGAAATGCAACGCCAGAAACTGTGCCGTCGACTGATTTGAACGCCGCTTCAAGATCAACAAAAACACAGAATGTGGGTTTATGGAAGTGGGTCTGTACTCTAAGGTTTGCCGAAGGGTAAAGATGTGGTAGACACATCCCAAACCGGATTTGAAATCGGCTTGATTCTCACGAGTACACATTTCGCGGGAGCTGGATAATCGGTGGAAACGTTGTCCCTGGGAGTGAATCAGTTAGCCGCCGGATTCCCTAATTAACTCACTTACATCGGGCTTCCGTGGACCGGTGCCTCCAATCAAACGGAAAAGGTTGCGAGTATTGCCAATGGACACAGCCTTTTCCATTTCCCTACATTTCGCAATCTACCACTGTTCACGGTCGTTTCTCAGCCTCCTAGTCAGTTGGCATCTCAAGGATTTACGCACTTCATTGAATGTGGCATCGGAACGGATGGATCTACGAGCATCCAACAGAACAACTGATGTCGAAGATATCCATCGTCTGTAAGGCATACTTGAACCAGAGTCCTGGATAGCATTAGATTTGGCATATAAGGCTTCCTTAACCTGTTGCCAACATTCATCTGGGCCATGCACATCCAGTCGCATAGATAATCATATACATAGCTCCGTCTGGAAATCACATAGCTGGTTATCGTCCAGAAGCAACTGCACGGGACGAGTGGAACTTACGTTGGTGCGACCACGGACGAGAAGTAGCTGGTTATCGTCCAGAAGCAACTGCACGGGACGAGTGGAACTTACGTTGGTGCGACCACGGACGAGAAGTAAACAGAAATGACCACGTACCTAGGCGTGATCTGAATCCACAGGCGTAGACCAAAATGAACGACAATTTTCAGTTGATCCACGCCAGCGGTGACCAATCACAATATGGTCATTTTGAGTCCAACGTTGTGAAGACGTAGGACGCCATGTTAGTGTATGCCGCTTCTTATGACAGGAGATCGTACCCGACAGAAACAATCTGTGGTCACAGCACAGCTGAATGAGACGATCGCCGTTATCGGCACGATCGGCTGGGGTAACAAATGGGCCTCCAATTTGCCTTTCGGAATCTCCCAAACGGTCAACCTGGGCGCTGAAATCCTCAGCAATGACCACCACGTTGCACGCTTCGAAGCAGCTGAGACAAATCCTGGCAGAATTCGCTCTTGGTTTCAGAGAAGCCGCAGTCAGTGGGCACATACAGACACGACGAACAAGCATCGGCGCTTCGATCTCAAATTATAAGAGGGAAAATTGATAAGGTTCTTTTGCAGGAAAGATGCTCGACGTTTCTCGGCGAATCATACTTCGCGGAGGCCCACACTACAGAAGGGATTTTTTCTTTGGGAAACCTACCGGGGCCCTTGAATCAAAGGTCTCACTCACAAGGCACTGGGGCGTTAACCCAGCACGGAAAAGTGACCGGAGAACCCGTGAAGGAATTTCTTCTCGTCTGTCACGTCAGACCTGATTGTTTCAACCATTCCACCTTGTCTTAACTGGTACTTTGTTTTCTATCGGCTTTTCGGATTCAGTCGTTAGCCCCTTGCACCCAATGGGTCAAGCGGAACGTCGACGGGCAGCATCCTTTGGGCTGGGGGCTGCCCAGCTTAGGTGGGCGACAGCTGCCCAATGAAGTGCGATGACTTCTCCCACCATCGACAGAAACCCCAGATACTCCACTCCTACGTCCATCTAGTGGAGGCTTTTAGATCGGTAAACCGTTTCTCTCCGCGTTTATTCGCTGGAGTGTCTGCTCCAAGGGCATAGTGAATAGAACCAGATGTTGCCCATCTACTGGTTCAGAGAATGGACATCGTCTGGTCTCTAACTATCGACCTGTCAGGCATGATTGCATCTCCGGCTTAAGGAAGCCATCCTGCATAGCTCTTTGGGTTAAGGAGGCACCCAAACCGTCACACCACGGCAAGGTGCAGTCTCGTCCTGATGGGGTGGGGGTGCTAGAGAGTAATGGTGACATAGCTATGGTACAGGCCTAACTCAAGACGGAAAGTGGACCATTTCACACGCGTTACGTCAGTTATCGTCAGGTATCTGGTCTTTTGCAGGATGGGGGATAAGCCAGAGGAGCTTAAGATCAGAAATTGTTTTCGAGTAATAAGGGGGCAGGATTGTGGAGGCGAATTCCGACAGCTTCAACTGTGGCTAGGATGCGACTTTTTGCTGGTCTTGATTGCTAACCCCGGGCCTCAATGCACAGTCGCTGCTAATTCAGATTTGCTGATGACGGAGTGCAAATTCAAATCTGAGGAAGACAGAGCACTGTTTAGATTATGTATCGGGGTTCGGCAGATTTGATAATTTGTTTTAAAATGATCCGGATGTTAAGAGTCGTTGTTTAGATTATTCAGGGAAGGAAGCTGAGCGTAAATGACTGACTGTCTAGCAAGGCAACGATCGAGAGCAGACAAGCCCGAATACGACAGAGGGTTTGTGATTACTCCTTAGACTCATGCTGCAGTATCCACAAATGAATATTCTCATGCGACGGCGCGATCCATTTGGGTCTCATAATATAGCGGTAACACACGAATTCCACTGGATTTCTTTCACAGAATGCAAAAAAGTACGGTGATGGTACTATGAGTTACACGTGAGAGAGAGCGAGGGGGAGGAAAAACAACGCTCGTCCGATGGATGATGAATGAATTTTTCGGAAAACGTCGGTCTTGTTGGCAAGACGTAGCAGAATCAGCAAAAGTAAGACCACAGTGTGCATACGTGTACAAGCCCTGGAACACAGAACATCTGTTCAGTATTCTACGACATTTGTCAGCGGATAAACAATGTCAGAGGCCCGAAATAAAGTCTTTCGTATAGGGTTGATTGAAGCGCTCAGATTAGTCAGAATAAAGGTCGTTGACGGAACAAGCATCCGAATCCTCCTTAGTTCAGCAAACTTTTGTTTTATGTGGTCGGCCTATCTTCTTGGATCGGATAAGTGATACAGGTTGATCATCATCACATGCATAATTCGCTCCAGTGTGTTCTCGATCGTAGCTGGCGTACTCAAATGCAGTATCCGGATCACTCTAATGAACAAGTGATTTTACAATAATGATGGATAGCCGATTCGTGGCCCAGTCTCGATTAGCCATAGCCAGACAGATCACGTTTTGTGATTGAAAAAAATAATTTTCACCTTCAGATGCAGTGAATGTGAGTGAAGTAGTAATAACCAGAAAAAGCATTTAACAGTGAAAGTAATATTGAACCCACTACTGGACTAGTCAGCGCTAATGAATAACCGCATTGATTGCGGAGAGCAGACTGTCACAACAGACAGCTTTCAACCAATGAAATCACGAGAATTACGGTACAGCTGTGACAAGATCAGTAATCATCCTACTCCAATACCCTGACCGTCAGTGTGGTCATTCAGCAAACTGACTTACCCGACCAACTTCTTTGCCATTTTGACTGTTCTCCAATATACTGAAACTGTAGAAATATTCTCCTGCGGCAGTCGAATCGCCCGGATCTGGTTTGGATTCGCTCGGCGAAGGAAGAAGAAGCAGAGTGGACGGTAACGGTTGACGTCCAACAAACTGTGGTCGATTGTCATTTTCGTCGTCCACATTCACAGTGACCACTGCGGTGGCGCTCAGCGGCGGCTTTCCATGATCCCTAGCCTCCACGGTCAGGAAGTAGGCATCAGCACGCTCGTGATCCAGCTCACTCTGCAGCGTTAAATCACCTTGACGCGTGCAATTGAGACAAAACAATTAAGAATAGTAATAATAATAATAACAGCTGCATAATCAGGCCCTCCATTTACAGGTAATGAGATTGACTTTTTAATCAATAGCCAATGGGCTGAAGCTGGAACACTGATCATAACGCTCTATTTCCATCAAACAAGAATCAAACGACGAAACAGGAAGAAGGCTTTCACGCTGGAACCTCAATTAATGCAAAGGACTACGGAGCGGGAAATTCGGATTGGGCCGCAGTTAAAATTGCTAATCGGAGACGGATAACGGAACATGAATTCGTCACGAAAACCAGCAGCAAAAACGCCGTGACAGAACCCCATACCAACCTCAGAAACAGACCGTCCCACTAGAAATCCTACTGGATATGCTCAAACTGTCAGCATAAAAAACAGACCAACAAATCGGATGTAGGACCACTACCATGTCGCTGCTCTGACCGACCAAAGACTCAATATACGAATTCAACTGGATCCTCGTCAACAAAGGTAACCAGGTCACCCAAAAATGAGTAGGAGTTTTGGTTTCCCCAAGTTAACTAACACGCCAAAAGACCCCTGCGCTCGTTCACGACTGGTTCGTTTCGTACATCTTTCTCGTTTTTGCATCAATTCCCTAGGTCACATTGGTCTACCAGGGAAGACACTATTAAAACGGTAGAGCGCTCTCGTACAGTTAACATGCTTCTTGGTTCGCTATTATACGCGCTGTAGTGAGTCGAGCTTGGTGTTTTTCTTCTAGATAGTGAATGGAGTACCTATCGAATTCCGCTGTTAGTACAGTTTTGTGAGGATACCAATGATGTGTGAATACGAAATCCAAAGTCGGCCTGCGCTTTCTGCATGTTCTGAGCTTTACACTGGTGTTCTTAGTGTGCTAGTCTTTGTGAGTCAATGCCTCTATGATTCTCAGAGACAATCTCTCTCTATTGTGGATAGCACAACAATTACAAATTACGAAATCGGACCTTAGAGATAAGCGTGGAAGTTAACCAGGAACGTCCTATATGATAGTGCGAAGAAACTCGTTTTCGACATCTCACTTCGGACACTTGCATATGTAGATTAGTAAGTTCCAATACTGTTATGGGAGCTGCGTCCTCAGCTGCACTAATATACAAGCAAGAAAAAATACACAAAACTGCGTGCACTTACAGAGTTGAGAATATCCGGCACACGACAGGGCAATTGCTCGGAAGGATTGCCGAATATTGCACAGCTTTCTCTCGCCAAACTATAGACTGAAATATCTCTAGCACTATCATCAGTTAAAATTGGTTCAGTTCAGTTCAAGCAACTATTAACCATACACTGGGTGCGCCGGTTTTGACTGTCATCAGTCACCGGAAATCTCAATCGGAAGTCAGAAAACCACGACAATGGAATGAGTAGTCGATACTAGGCATATATTCGATCCCATGGCTGTGCTGAAGATGGTAAAGGGTAGGTTTCGCAGAAAACGACTTCTCGACGCCTATGAAGCCGTATCTAGTAAGACCCTGAATCGTGAGTTTTGCAGGCAGAAAGCGTTAATTTTATCAGGGCGGTACCAGGCGAACGTTCTTACATCAAGCATCGCTGAACAACTTTCTCTTTACTCTTTTGTCAATAGCTGTCCACACACTTCTCTCAACTAGCTGAATTCGTCCGACTGGTTTATTGCCACATCAGAATATACATTCCCGGTTTCATAGTATGGGCTACGCTGTCCCCTTTATCTCTTCGCTCACCATATGTATAATACCTTACGTAAATATACTGAACGGGACCTCAAAAAGAAATTTATCCGCATTACGTCTATTTCTATACATAAACGGAAATATTTTACAGTATTTTAACTTAAAAATGACCGTTTCATTCTTTTATTTATTATATGACAGTTTCTGGAAGAAAACCACAGTTAATCAAGAGCTGTCGAATCGGGAAGTGGCCACCAGCTGCGAATATCAAAACTGGGATGTCAAGGTCTGAATTCCACGATGATGACGATCTGAACACCTCCGCACCATTGTTGATACATACCCCTTACCGAATCTTGTTAGTTTACCAAAAGTGCATAGAGATAAGGCAGAGAAACAAAAAAGACAAACGAGCTGACAATAAAAAGAGAAACAGGAAGGGAACGATGACTGTAATCTAAGCGGCCACCTAGAAAGGAAAATTCTTCGCATTACAATCACCATCTGAAGTCACTTGTATACCAGAGATACGGGTGTAAGGTAGCGAGTACAAGATGGAGCTGATTCATGTCCCGACGCGACTCAAAACTGTCCATCAACAAATTTTATCCCCAGGAATTTACAGTTTATCTCACATAAAGCGGAATATAAACCACTACTGGTGGATGTCTGGTGAACAGATGGGCAAATTCACTAACTGGTTCAGTGAAATCGGGAGTTTATAAGATACAGTTATGTGCGACGGTCGGAGCCGGTGAGTTAATCGGTCAATTCTGATCATTCACTTCAGCGATCCGCCTATGGTCTGTGATCCGTCGTCCCAGTGTAGAAAAAACTGGTGGGCCCGACGTCACACACACACACACACACACACACACACACACACACACACACACACACACACACGGTAGAATCAGACGGAAGAGAAAGAACGCAATTATCATCAAACAGCGATAAACTGTGGATCACACAGTAGTCAATTTACCTAGGTCTTAGAAATGAGAAAAAACTAACGATCCACCAAACCAAAGGCAGGCAAATGAAACAGAAAAGGTGATAGGAGAAAACCGTCACGTAGTTCGTCTATGAGTGATACGAACTATCCATATTCAATGGTGCGGGTACAAAAAAGTAAACGAAATGATACGAAAGAATAAGCAAGCGCTACCACGGAGAATTGTTTGAATTACGACAGTCAAGTGTGTAAATGCACATAGTCACTGAGTCACGTTAGTGAAGAAATTCAGAATCTAGATTTTCTAATATGAAATAAAGGTTATTTTCGAATGGGTGGGATTTTGATATCATATTCTGAACCAACTATTTACACAAATGTGGAAGTTGACGATCAAAAAGAACGAAGGGAGGATCAGTCACATATACGTAAAGGCACATAATTAAGGAAGCATGTCATGATGAGACAAAAAGATAAACTTGCACAGATTTCTTCCATCGCTTCGGTGACATTTTACGGATTACGCGTACAACGCTAGTACATTATATATATATATATATATATATATATATATATATATATATATATATATATATATATATATACTGCGAGGGAGTAACAAACGTTATCACCACAAGCACTCGGGGCCTCCGAGCTGGTCTCCCCGGAACCCCTACAGATGCATAGGCATGCACTCAAACACAGGCGCACACCGACTGGCCGGTGCGGTCGCCGTCATAACCTGAAATTCGATTGTGGTCTTCAGTGTCGCTGATTACGGAACCGATGATGTAGCCACGCCAGTCGCGGTGAGAAATACGGAGAAGACGGTATACGAATCCCATGAGATCTCACGATGCGCGAAGAGTTCGATTCGAAACGGACGTGCACACCCCTCTCCCCTATCTAATGACTGTCAAAATGGAGAACAAACTCCTTCTGTGTACGTGTGTGTATTTATCGAGAGGGTATAGCCTCCGACAGGAAGTCGGGAATGTGGTAGTCAATCTAACCAGAACCGTTTGCCGACAGTAAGCGGTATGCGTGGATACAATCAATGACGATTGTTTACCACCAGTGAACGAGACTGGTAAGATTGGCACCACATGCTTCCAGTTAGGAACACAAACCAGTCTTCTTTCGTAGTACCTGCTTGTCGTGAGACAGGCTGGTTGGAAGACTAGTGACTTACAGAAGGCGGTAAAAGTAGTTGCAGTTCTAGCCAGAACAGCACTGATGGTTGTCTGTCTGTGTCGCCCAGAAAGACAGACAGAGTCAACAAAATGAGTGGTAATCGGATTTCGTTTGATGACTACTACGGAAGTCCGAACGCTGATCATGAGGGAGTGGTCTGTGCCAATCGTAAAACATTGTAGAATGCAGTGCGCTCCAGAGAAGCAGACTATGATGAAGGATAAAGAGCCAAAAGTTCGAGAAAAATATGATTCTGATTATACAAACTATTCTGGTCTATTGTGGGAAAGGGGTCATAATGATAATGCTGCTGATGAAGAGGAACTTCTTTTATTCGTTTTTATGTGTGTACGTACGCGGGTTTCTACGCTCCCTTCTTTCTCACGTTTATGACCAATGTAAGTAATGTGACTACACGTGGGGAACAAACGCTAGATCAGAACTAGACAAATAGATTACCGTAAAACTGTCAGTTGGGAAATGAGCGTATTAAATAAGCCAAATCCACTACACACAGGTTAAAAACTGACACTCAAAACAAGCAAAAAACGCCGATGTCAACGAGTCAAGTCAAACGAAGATGGATGGGAATGAGAACTGGAAGAATGCTTGAGTAAGACAGAGTAGAAAGTGAGGAGCAAGATCTAAAAAGGGAAAAAGATCACAAAGCACCAACAGTTTAGTGCACAAAAGTAGTAGAACAGACAAGCTGACTAGCTGCATTACCAGTAGCTGCAAATGGATTGGGCCTGTGTTCCTTTTGACTTGACAGTTCCGCTGAGTAAAATATCACAGTTCAATTGACAACCAAATGAATGACCAACGTAAACAGAGATGTGATGGGCGATTCAACAGCCGATACGGCGTCTAACAGAAGAAACAACATTGTCAGTTTCTTCTGAATGCAAAGAAAAAACATCTGGCCAACTATCAATTTGTTAAAGAAATTTTACCTGTTCAGACTAGTCGCTTATGGAGTTTAACATATATATTTCCTAGGGTATTCCACTGTTTGGTACACAAACCTCACTGGCCCTAACCCGGGAGGGTAAAACGTCGGACACAACCAAGCACGCTGTTTAAGGAATTCATACCTTTCTCAAGTGTCCATTACATCTATCTTTCCCCCATTACTTGTCCTGGCGAACGGTATAGAC